GTCTGTAACTACTTGGAAAGAACCCAGACTAGAGTGAGAAGACACTATTCCGTTCTCCCTTTATGCTTCCCCACCCCCTAATCTTCCCAACTCCATCAACACAACCAAACACCTAAGAAATTTAACTGGATGGCTGCTCTCTAGACTCTATTTTGAATTGCACCCTACTTCTGGATGATCACCTTCTGCCCTCATCCAATTCCATATACTGGGTCATCCCTCATGTTTTCCTTTGGTTAAACAGTTATTTAAATTCTGTCTGACCACCTTAGATCTTTGGAGGAGTAAACACAACAGCCAGCGGTTTATAGGTTATAGGTTATTCACCCGCACGGATTTACCTATGTGGCAATAGTGATTGTAAAGATCACAGGAAAGAAAGCATTTCAAGTTATAGTCTACTTAATTACAAACATGTAACCATTTCTTTCTGTGTGCACTATCTAGCTAAAGAATTTAAGAATAGTATTTGCGAATCTACTTTTTATCTAGTAATGTCTGTGCAGACGGAAACATTAGGATGATCATTGTCAAGTCATATTTAATATCCTTGAATGACTTTCTAGCATTTATAAGCAATTCTGGATGCCTGAAGTATGCTTGACTCTTATCCACATTATTGCAGAATGGTGATTATGATAATCACTATGCTTTACTTTTTATAAATTCTTTATTACTTCAAGTTATTAAGTATTACACATCTCCTCCCCCCTCCCCCACCCACCCACCCATTGACTGCTTCCTGGCCACTCTTACCCCCTAGCACATGCTCTCACCAAGCCCCTAGTGTCTGTGTCCATTGGTTATGCTTATATGCATGCATACAAGTCCTTTGGCTGATCTCTTAACTGCCCCCTCCCCTGCCTTCCCTCTGAGGTTGGATGGTCTGTTCGATGCTTCCTTGTTTCTGGATCTGTTTTTGTTCATCAGTTTATGTTGTTGGGTAATCACTGTACTTTAAAATCAGAGTGAACAGCAATTAGGCAGGTCATCTGGTGGTTCACCTCTAGCAGAACATATCTAAGTCATGCAATCTGTTGGGGTTTTTTTTTTCTTCAGGATTTCTAGAGAAGAATCACAGTAATTTTCTCTACATATAGTTTGTTTGAAGGTCAAAGATGAGGGAAATTTTTTTAAGGTTTCATCCCATAATCCAGTTTTAAATTCATTTGTGCTTACGTATTTCCTTAATGTATTTGCTGGTTTTGCTGCTAGAAAGTAGAATTAGAGAGAAAGACTGATAAAAGGATATAGGAAGGAACAGAGTAAAGGGGGAGGAATGAAAGAAATCTGGCAGAGAGAAATCAAGAAGAAATATAAAAAGAATTCAATGTTTTGTTACTCTTTCACTTTTTATTTCCAAGGCTCTTGATCTGGTTCTTTTCTCCGGGCAGTCACTACTTGAATACAAAGTACACACTGACTCAGGAATGATTAAGAGATGGATGGTTGATTATTTGTTAACTGTGGACACAAGTCCACTTATTCAATGATAAAATATGGTCAGTCCTAATATTTTTTAAAAATATATTTTATTGATTTTTTACAGAGAGGAAGGGAGAAGGATAGAGAGTTAGAAACATCGATGAGAGAGGAACATCGACCAGCTGCTTCCTGCACACTCCCCACTGGGGATATGCCCACAACCAAGGCACATGCCCCCGACCGGAATCGAACCTGGGACCCCTCAGTGCGCAGGCCGATGCTCTATCCACTGAGCCAAACAGGTCAGGGCAGTCCTAATATTTTTTAATAATAAAAGCATGTGGTAATAAAAACTCAACTTATATAGAGAGGTCTAAGAAGAAAAGGAAAAGTCTCCTGCCTATTCCCCTGCCATATCAGGTCCTTTTCAACCACTGTTAAAAATTCCTTTAGTAATTTTCCAGAAAGAAAAATAAAATGCATTATCCTGTATCGATATATGAATATGTGATGGGGTGTACATTTAAAATTTTATTCTATAGAAATAACATCATACCTCCTATATGGCAACTTACTTTTTTCTCTTTAAAATTCATTTTGGAGATCTTCCCATGTGCCTATTCATGGAAGTCCCACATGTAAGGAAACTTTCTCTTTTTAAGCAGTGTATCCCAATGTCTAGAACAGAGGTCTCACATATACTTTTCCCCAAAAAAGAAATTGTTAGGTAAATGAATGAATAAATCAGAAAATACAGATCAACTTCATTGTTTTGAACAAAAGTATAATATTACATTATTTAAATGTACAAGAATATCCAGTCTGCTACTGATGAATATTTAGAATATTTGCAGGTTTTTGGCTATTACGATAGTAAAATTTCCTAAACATATGTGTTGAATCATATCCTTATATATCTGTATGTGAATCCAAGGTAATTACTTAACAATAGTTCAGTCAATTGCATTTTTAACTATTATACATATTGCCAAGTATCACTCCTAACCAGCTGTGTGAATTTACACTCTTGTTACAATACAATTTTTATTCTGGAGCAAATCTGAAAACCTAAAGGTAGTGACAGAAACACACATTCTTAGAAAATACATATTCTTTCATCTACAGCCTTTTAATGAAAATTGTGTCAGACGAGATCTCAAAAAAATGAAAAGCCTTTGGCTTTGCTAAGTACTGGGGACATCCTTTTTCTCCAAGACAAAGTATTTGTTCCTACTGGCCAGCTTTTTGGAACTTGGCCAACAATTCATGGTTAACTGCCTCCTTTGTATATTTTAATAATAAAATATAATTCTATTATTGTTTTTTTGTAAGTTCAATAACTGCATCTTTGTGAAATATAAATAACAATTTAAGAGCATGCAGATGTCATTGAGAAAGTATTTATTAAAAAAAAAAACCAACGAGCTGCAGTCCTGTAGAAGTGCTTGAAACACTATCACTAGGGCTCTCACAAGGATCCCACTGCCTATTGACATTAAAATAAGAAAAGTAACCTATGTGCAGAAGGAAGGTTGTATGCACATTAACATTCATGAAGGCTGAGCAGCTGAAGCCCTACACATCAAGTAGGGAATATATCCTTTGTCTACTGATGAGAAAATGTCGCAGTGATAAATGGTTACAGACAGGGGTGTCACAAGGGCAAGGGCACACAGAACAGCTCTGACAAACTTAAAAAAAAAAAAAATTAAATCTTCCTTTCCTGCAGTTCTTTTTGTCGCATTGTGGAGCACAGTGCCTATTCCCTCAAAGAAAAGAAAAATATTGAATACCGAATTCCTAACCTTTACTGAGACACTTCCCAGAAAACAAAAAACATACACTTTAGAAATAATTTAAAACAAAACTTCAAAGGCCTCATGATGCATAAATACCGTATTCAGACATTTTGAAAAGAAGTGGTCTACACCCTGCACATTGCCTATATGATCTAAAATGTATAGTGTCATATGGTCGTCAAAGTAAAAGTCTGTAACGTCAACACTGGGAGACCTTAGGCCCATCATTAAAATGCTTTACACCAGCGATTTTCAACCTTTTTCATCTCATGGCACACATACTAATTGCTAAAATTCTGCGGCATAGCAAAAAATATATTTTTTGCTGATCTGACCAAAATATATTTTTTGCTGATCTGACCAAAAAATAGGCATAATTTTGATTGATTTACACAAAAAGGGGTGGGGGATTACTAACCCTTTTTGCTCCAAAATAACTTTTAAAAAAATCAGGTGCCTATCTATACTTATATATAAGGGTTTTGGTACCTAGATTTAACCAATCAGATGCAACTTATTATGCATGTGACTAATAAGATGCAACTCTATTATATGACATATATGTCCCCCAAAATGTATACACACACTTTGAATAATTATAAAGGCAGTGTTTACTAAAATACATTTTATTTTCAAAATTGAGCTACTAGCTGTTAAAGTGTGTATATATTTTTTGGGGACATCCTGTATTCATGGTTCAAGACATGGACACCTAAGGCTATTGTTGTGTTGGCTGTTGTCATTTTTTTAATTTGGCAATCTAAAGGAAAGGAGATTAGTGGCCCTGACTAAATAGTCAAGTGTTGCATGTTTAAAAATCCTTGCAGCACATACACGGGTTGAAAATTGCTGCTTTACACTTCTTTACCTAAATTCAAATAGTCATTTAGTAAAGTCCTGAGGAAAATCACGTATGAAGTCATTGGACAAACTAATCTGTTCGTGATTATCTCATACACCTCAACTGTAACCACCAATGACTTTCAGTTATTTTTCAAAACAAAATAAGTTACAATTTGTATGTAGTTGGCTTTGTCTCATTGAAGACAGGAAGCCTGAGAACCAGGGCTAGAGGGCAAACATTTCCCAGGGCCTGACTCTAGGTGGCTCGCTCTCTTTACCTATAAACACCAAGGCCGAAATAATCATCTTCCGCCGCCTAAAGGGTTTTTTCTCCAGTGTTTTGCCTCTTCTGCAGAGGTCTAGAGGCTTCAGCATGAAGAGAAATAAACGTAGGGCAATTTTATAACACACAAGCGTCAATACTGTGATTATGCGCGTCCATCCCCACCCTGCAGAAACCTCCAGATGCAGCGCAATAAGAAATGCACAACAGCCCTCGGCAAGTCCCCCGCGCCGCCTCACTCGGCGCTTTCCCGACAGTGTGGTCCGCGCTGTGCAGATGGACAAAAACACCGCCGCGGCCGCCCGGGAACCGAGTTAGCCGAGAACTCGGCCGCGGAGCCTGCAGCGGGGGCGAGTGGGGCGGAGCCTGCAGCGAGGAGGGGCGAGTGGGGCGGAGCCTGCAGGGGGGGCGAGTGGGGCGGAGCCTATAGCAGGGGCGGGTGGGGCGGAGCCTGCATGAGAGGCGGGTGGGGCGGAGCCTGCAGCGAGGGGGGGGGCGAGTGGGGCGGAGCCTGCAGCGAGGGGGGCGAGTGGGGCGGAGCCTATAGCAGGGGCGGGTGGGGCGGAGCCTGCATGGGGCGGGTGGGGCGGAGCCTCCAGCGGGGGCAGGTGGGGCGGGGCCGCGGCGTCCCTGCGCCTGCGCGCCCGCATGGCAGTTGGAGACCGGGTTCGGAGCAGGCTACTACGCCCCCGCCCTCCGCCTCCCCCCACCCCGTCCCACCTCCGCCCACTGGACGCGATGACGCACCGCAGGTTTGCGGACGTGGCGGCGGCGCAAGGCCGGGAAGGCGGAGACTTTGGCCTTGGCGGTGGCGGTGGCGGCGGCGTAAGAGGAAAACGGTGGCAGCCAAAGACAGGCGTTCGGCCATGAACTTGCCCGGGACGGCAGCGGCGGCGGACTCGGGTGCCGTCTCCTCGTGGCGTCCCCCTTGCTAACGGGACAGGTAAAGATGGCGGCGAGCGGTGGGGAGTGGCTCCGTTCCGCGCGGCAGGGTTGGGCCCCCGCCGCATTCTCCCCGGAGGCGACGCGGGGCCATTGGCCGCGGCTGTGTTGGGGGCGGTGGAGGGGACTGAGGTGGAGACCGGGGAGACAGGCCCCCACCAAAGCCCCGCGGCACATTGTTGGGGAAACTGAGGCCCCGGGGAAGGAGTTCTGCGTGCCGGATCGACGCAGTTTTCGGCCCAAACACGCTTTCTCCCACCCCTTGGTGTCTGTATTGCATATTCGCTGACGGCACCTTGTCCCCATCGCCCAAGTGTCACGGTGTGTGACATGGACACCTGGGGTTGAATCGTCGCAGGGAATGACACGGAAAGGAAAAGCTAGACGTGTGGGCTGGGGAGGGAGGGAAGTTAAGTTTTTAAACGCGGGATTGGCGCTGCTGCCCCGGTGCTGAGCTCCCTGGTCCCCGGGCAGGCCCTCCGGTCCCGCGGTCCCCCGCAGGCCGGGCTGACGCAGCCGGTGGCGGGTTTGTGGCTGCTCGTAACTGCGGACAGGCTGGCTTGGCTTCCTCTCCCGGAGGGGAGGTCCGTGCCTTCTTCTCGCCCAGAGAGAATGAAGAGCAGTGAAGAGAAGCGAGCCAGAGGACGAGGACTGTGTCCCTGCTAATCTCCCGTAGCTGCTCAGATGGTCGTCCGCCCGGCCAAAGTCTAGCTTCTCCTCAGTGAGACACACAACCAGTTCTTGATGATTCAGAAGCAATGCCAGCGGGCGGTTTCTGCTGCCTGCATCTCCTGCCAGGGGGAGTTAAGCGATAGTGAGACAGATAAAGTCCAGTCTTCAAATATTATTTTACCACTACAGGCCCGGTGCACGGATTACGGGGGTGGGGGGTGGGGGTCTCACAATCCAGCCGGCTGGCTCCTAACTGCTCACCTGCCTGCCTGACTGATCACCCCTAACTGACCCCTCCTGCAGCAAGCCTGATCACCCCTAACCACCTGCCTGCCAACCTGATCGCCCCCAACTGCCCTCCCCGCCCCCTCCCCCCCACCGGCCTGGTTGCCCACAACTGTCCGCCCTCCCCTCTGCTGGCCTGGTTGCCCCTTACTGCCCTCCCCCAACCCCACTGGCCTGGTCGCGCCTCACTGCCCCCTCCCCAACCTCCGCAGCCCTGGTTGCCCTCAACTGTCCCCTGCTGGCCTAGTTGCCCCCAACTGCCCCCCCCCCCCCAGCCTGGTTACTCCCAACTCCCCCCCCCCCCTCCCCGTCGCCCCATGCAGCCTGCTGTTTGTTTGGTACTGTTACTGTGATGGCGTCCCAGACAATTTGCACCTACCTCTATTATTAGTATAGATATATCATGGACAGAGGTTGATATAAATATCTAAAATGGTTTTTGGGCATTGCTCAGTGACTTTTAGCTGTATGTACTAAGCCATTGTGGGGTACAATATATGAGATAGAAAAATTCTAACGGGTGGCATAACTGGGACAGTATAGCCATGTTTAAGCTGTGGTATATTAAGTGGTTATTAACTTTTTAAAGTCATGGACACCTTTTGAAAATACGAAAATCATAAATACTTTCCCTAGAAAAATATGCATACATATAAAATGTGTCTATGAATCATAGGAGTCACAGGCATTCCCTAGATTAAAGACAGAGGATCAAAAATACTTGATTAAATAAGTGGAAATAAAATAATTATTTAAGGTGAAAGTGAGATATTCTTTCAGCTTTTTGAATATTAAAGCATCCCTAGTTTATTATGGTGCTAAAACAAGATGAATCACTTTGTTACTTGAAAGAATTGATCAGGCCTTCAAAATTGCTTTTGAGATGCAAAATGTGGGGAGCTTTCTTTCACTTGGTAGCTGTCAGGAGTCCCAGTGAATGGTAGGTAATAAATAATGTAGCACCTGGAGGAATAGGTGAAATAATCTACTTAATATATAACTATTAGTTATCTGTGTTATCTGAATGGAAACCTTTGAGTTTTTAAAGCATTATGTTGCCATAGAACAGGGTCAGAAACTGGTTTTCAAGGGTTGGGTTCAATTATATGAAATTGTTCCAAAAAATCTGTAAGTATCTGTCTACATAGAAAGTATAATTTATTGTCATCCAAACCTCACAGACTTTTGGAGTTTGTGTTTTCTGATTTCTTTTTTTCTCATTTTCATTTGGTACTTGTTTATAATATTCACAAGTGAACTAAGTCCTTCTTTTTGAGACATAATTTTGCCTTGGCTTTTATGACATACGGTTTCTTTCTCCTCTGAACACTCCTTTTCCCATGTTCTTTGCATGTTGATTGTCCTTCACCAGGATATTAAATGTAGCAGTTCTTCAAGCTAAAATCGGAATGTGGAATTAGTTTGTTCTTATATTGTTCATTTTTAATGAGAATAGAGTAACTTGATGAAGGTGAGTTGTGAGTATGCAGTAAAACAAAAATAATTTATTGATACATGTTTTTAGCTTAGGCCAGCTCTCATTCAGTCTTACAATGTCTTTTCTGCAAAGCTTCCAGAGAAGAAAAATCCCTGGTCGAGCAAAATCATGACCTATGTAGAAGTCACCTACTGTAGTAAATATAAAAAATGATGTCAGTATGATCCAAAGAGGTAGGGAGGTAGGTAGGTAGTGCAAAAAATATTTCAACCCCAAAAAGTTTTGGGTTTATAAAAGTATTTGGGTTTGTACCTATAAAACATTTTGTGTGTGTGTTTGTATATATATATATTCTCACATGTTTTTAAGATAATATAAAAGTAGTTATCTCATTTTATTCTCATACTCAAAATAAGGGGAATTTAATTTTTTTACCTACAAAATGATTATAGCAATTTTTTTTATTAGCCAGGCCAGTATGGTTCAGTGGTTGAGCATCAACCCATGAACCATGTCGTCACTTGTTTGATTCCTGGTCAGGGCACATGCCCGGGTTGTGGGCTCGATTCCCAGTAGGGGCCGTGTAGGAGGCAGTTAATCCATGTTTCTATCTCTCTACCCATCTCCCTTTCTCTCTGAAAAATCAATAAAAATACATCTTTTTTTAAAAAGAAAGAAAATATAATCACCTTACATGTTTTGTGATATATGGTCTAAAGAATGGATTACCTCTTCATCCCACACCATTGTCTCCACTGCCAAATATATTCACTGTACTTCGTCAGGTATAAAACTTGAACCTAAATTTTAAAATAACTAAAACCATTCTGTCCTGAATGTATGACTCATGTAAAGCCAGTCAAATGGATCAGCTATATTTTAAACTTTTCTCTGCTTTCTCCCCCCCAGGTTTTGACATTATGGCAGGGAGGCATCAGAATCGCAGTTTTCCTCTTCCAGGAATTCTTTCCAGTGGTCAAGTATATACATTTGGAAATTGTACAGAGAGTGATGTTTTGGAGGAGGATGCTGAAGTATATGAGCTTCGATCCAGAGGAAAAGAGAAAATCCGGAGAAGTACATCAAGGGATAGACTAGATGACATTATAGTATTAACAAAAGACATACAGGAAGGAGATACTTTAAATGCAATAGCCCTCCAATACTGTTGTACGGTAAGTTTTGATTTTGCAATAGCAGTCCAAAATAAATTATTTGTTCATAACACAAAGTGAAATAAATTCTGTGCCTTTTTATTTTGCTCCTCCTCCCCTTTTCTTCTGTCCATAGAAATCTGTATCCTGTTGGTGGATTTTAACTTTTTAAATTTTTAAGTGAATACTTGAATTTGTTATTCCTAAATCCATGCTTCTATTTTCAGTACTGAATAACACCCAAATATGTTATCTTTTTCTCCTTATCCAAGTAGTAAGAGAATGTAAAATCATATAAGGAAGTTTTTCCTTGCCCCAGTTTCCTGAGATAGCACATTGTGTATCTTTTCATACCTTCTTTCTGCTTTTAAGAATACACATATATAAAATTCATGGGAGGTTGGTGGTTTTTGTGTTTTTAAAGTTGGTTTATACCATGCCTGTTACTCTGCAAGTTGCTTTTGCCTTTTTCACTTCTTAGTTTATCATGGATAGTCCCTCATAGATCTAACTCATTATTTTATATATATAATTTTCTGTAGTATGGATGTACCATAATTATTAAGCCATTCTCATACTCATGGGTAGTCAGGATTTTCGCTGAGTTTTCTATTGTGCCGTGCATATCTTTACAACTGTATCTTTAAATTGAGGTACTTTTATTTCTGTAGAATAGATTTCCAAAAGTGGGATTGATAAAGGAAAAGTATATTTATTATTTTATTTATTTATTTTTTAAAATATATTTTATTGATTTTTTACAGAGAGGAAAGGAGAGGGTTAGAGAGTTGGAAACATCAATGAGAGAGAAACATTGATCAGCTGCCTCCTGCACACCCCCCACTGGGGATGTGCCCACAACCAAAGTACATGCCCTTGACCGGAATTGAACCCAGGACCCTTCAGTCCGCAGGCCAACGCTTTACCCAGTAAGCCAAACCGGTTAGGGCATATTTCTTATTTTAGTAGATACTAAACTGTTTAAACCCATTTTATATCTGTGTCATTTCAATTTTGCATCCTTAGCATGAAATCTGTTTTCATGTAAACACACTGATAGGGAAACTGTTTAGAACATTGGTTTTCAAAATTTTGTTCTCATACATCCAATAGAATTTTGAAATGTATGTACCTCGTACATTTTATTTATTTTTAATTTAAATTCTTTATTGTTTAAAGTATTACATGTCTCCTTTTCCCCCCCACAGACCTCTCCCCAGCCACGCCCAACCCCTAGTACCTTGTACATTTTAAAGTGAACTTCTTAAATACTTCCTAATAACTTAAAATAGTAATTACAAAGGTATCATTTCTATTAAAAATAAGACTGTTAGAATAGTTTTTAAATGTATGCATGGAATTCTAAATACTAATTTAGGATTTGCTACCTGAAATTATTCCTGTAAAATATAGATATATATGCTTTTTTATAAGTATGAAATTTCATATCAGTTTTTTCTATGATTAATATTTTCATCCTCACCCTCCAAATTTTTCATAATGTAAATTATTGCTATACTTGCAAACATTTTATGATTTTCTGTCATAGTTACCTGAAATAGAAACACACACATACAGGATGTCCCCCCAAAAAATGTGTACACACTTTCATAGCTGATAGGTGTTGAGTTGTATGAGTTCTTTGTATATTTTGGATATTATCCCCTTGTCAGAGCTGTTGTTTGCAAATAACATCTCCCATTTGGTTAGTTGTCTTTTTGTTTTGTTGGTTGTTTAATCTTTTTTTGTTGGTTGTTGATGAATCATTTGCTTTAAGAAAAAACTATCTTGAGGTAGTCAAATGACAAAGACCCTTTATCTTTACTGTCTCTCATCTCCTCTTTACTCTTCAATCCTCTCTCCCTGCTCCCACACATACACTTCAAGGGAGATGATTTTTCCCACAAGAAATTCTGTCTTCATTGGACTTGATCAGTAGTCTGCCATTGATCCAGTTCACCACTCCCTCCTAAAAACTCTGTTTGACCTGGATACTGCAGGTTTCTGATTTTCCTGATATTTAAGAATAGCTGATATTTACATAACATACATTACTTTCCTGGTCACTCTTAATCTCCTTTGTGGATTTCTCTTACTCAACATACCTCTCAAATGTTGGCATTCCTTAGGGGTCTTTCCTGTGTTACCTTTTATTCCTGTCTTTTTCTAGTGAATCCATCCTACTCTTGTTGCCATTTTGCTGGTAAACCACAAATATATATCTCTAGTTGAGATCATTCATCTGCATTTCAGACATATATGCTGGAATCTACTTAAATAGCTGACATTAGGCTGTTAAACATGGGAGATAATAAAAAGTTAGTTGGTGATTTCCTAAGACTGGTAGATCATAAGTTGTGTAGAACTGTTGTCCACAAATAAAATACAATCTCTCTGGGTATGATAACTTAATGCTACTAATAATTAAGCAACTCTTTTTCCCTCTCTCCGAAAATAAGTGGGATGAATGATTATTGCTACCTCTATTTTGATTTAGAATTCAATTGAATGTTTTGTTTTGTTTTGTTTTGTTTTGACAGGTAGCAGATATCAAGAGGGTCAACAATCTCATCAGTGATCAAGACTTTTTTGCCCTTAGGTCTGTCAAAATTCCAGTAAAAAAGTTTAGTTCATTGACTGAAACACTTTATCCTCCAAAAGGAAGACAGGCTTCACGTCCTTCATCTGTTGAGTACGTTCCAGAGCAACAGGAAATTTTGTCACTTAATGATTCTCTTTCTTCCAGTGAGTCAGCTGGCAGCTTTTTAAAAGAAGTAGACCGAGACATAGAACAATTAGTAAAATGTACAGACACCAAAAGAGAGAATCTTAACGAGGTGGTGTCTGCCTTAACAGCACAACAGATACGTTTTGAACCTGATAACAAAAACATTCAACGTAAGGATCCTTATTATGGAGCAGACTGGGGAATAGGATGGTGGGCAGCTGTAGTGATAATGCTGATAGTGGGTATAATAACGCCAGTATTTTATTTGCTCTATTATGAAATTTTAGCTAAAGTGGATGTTAGTCACCATTCAACAGTGGATTCTACACATTTGCATTCAGGAGTCACACCCCCATCACAGCCGAGAGAAATGGAAAATGGAATTGCTCCAACTAAAGGAATACCATTTGGCCAACAAGATGATCATAAACTGCATAGTCACAACTCTCAGTCTCCTGATGCTCAACACAAAACATAGCAATTAGCTCGTAATTACAGTGTTAATGGTCACAGGTTCATCTGGACTGTGGTGAATCAGTTATATTCAATAACCACTTCAAAAGCAGAAATTAGGAAGATTGAAGATGCTTTTGTTTTTCAGGGTTTTTTTGAGCCATTTACAAATGGATTGAGTATAAAATTCCTGCAGTTGTTAGTTGTTGATATTGAGAACAGTAAATTTATATGTTGTATCAGTGTTTAAAGCAAAAATATATTTTATGTGTCCAGGAAGTTCTTAACTTGGAAAACATTTTTCTTATTCAAGACCAGTTATGTTTAATTTTTATTTAAATAATTAAGGTTATTAATGTTTATTAAGTAGAATAATGATAGCACCAGATATCTGCAACTGAAGAAAATTTACTACTGTGAACCATCAAAATATTTAGTTGCAAAAGTTTGTAAAATTATTTATGATAGCACATACTTACTACTCTATTTTAAAACTTTTGAAAACAAGTGTAGCACATATGCTATGAAGATGTAAGTAGACACAGAAGTAGGAAAGCGATGTGTGATGTCTGTAATAGAGGCTAAGATAGAAATTAAATATTTTTAAGCCCTAAAATAATGTGTTATGGTTGAGAAGTTGCCAATTGGTCACTAGAACACTGGATTAGGTAAAAAACCTAAAGTGATCTTTGTCTCTTAAAAAGAGTGCTGCCTCTGCTTTTGATTTTTAAGTCATTATATTGGCCTGATATTTGAAGCACTTTTGCAATTCTTTGAAAAGTGTTATACATGTATAAGTTAGCATAATTTAGAAAGTAATTTCCTACATACTGTGATAAGATGTTGCTGTGTTACATACGGTAACATGCCTTAATTACATTTAATGCCTTATAAAATATGTAAGCTAATATTTTTAGAATTGAAAGGCATTATTTCAGATGCTCCAGTGGGATTCATTACATAGGCTGTATAAATTTGCCTCCACTTTCGCTATCAAGCACAAATTAATGGGGTCAAAACAAGTTTTCACTGTCTGCCTCTGATGTCTGTTGCAGAAAATGGTTCATTAAGCAAAAGCAAGAGTAAAGACACCTTTGGCATTAGCAATAACGGACACATTGCTTTATTTGTTGATACCTTAAACTTTTTCAAAGAGAAAAATGTTCAACTTAAACCTTTTTTCCCCTTGAACTATAGCATGAAATTGAGGAACAGAAGCCAAAAGTGTACGGGGCCACTTTTTAAAATCTGCTATGGATCTGCCAGATAAACATTTGCATACTGGTTTCATATAGTTTTTTAAAGTGTGTGTTTTTTAAAAATGTAACTAAAATGATTCATTAGAAGCAAGAGTTGGTGGAATCTGGATTGCCTGTTTTATGTATAATAAAGTATGTACCTTAAGATCTGTAATACCACCTCATTTTCTGGGCATTATTTCCTAATTTTAATGTTTCAGCTTTTTGACCACTTTGTATTTCAAACTCCAATCTTGATACAAAGTGGTGTGAATAAGCATATGTGGTAAATAGGATGTCATGTATCTTCAGCAGCAAAGTGTAAAAAGATAGGACAAGGACAAAAAGATAGGACAAGGACGTGAAGTAACAAAGCCTTTGCATATGTTTGAGGACCTTAGATAATGACCAAAAAGTGTTAATGTGGAAATTGTAGCAAATTGATTCTTTGAGTAACTCTGTAGTTTAAAATGTAAAAAATTATTTTAATGTGTCTTGGCATCTTGAGAAGATCTTTGTAATTTATGCTCAATGTTAACTTGGTCAGTTTACATTGTATTTATTAAGCCTGCTGAAAAATCAAGTTTTAGGGAAGAAAATACCAATATTTTAAGGTAGAATGGATTAGATGTCCTTTGAAGAACTTTGTTTACATCAAAGTGATGAAATTAAGGAAAGTCAGTGATTCCTTTTTACTAGTGGTACTTTGAGATTGTGATAGAGAGGTCTGATTCCCAGGATAAGTTATTTTTAAAGTAGTGAAGTGTACTGTGTATTTATTAGTGTCCTATTCCTTGAAGCACACATTATACCTGAATTCTATATTTTTAATTGAATATAATTTGAATTATAATTCTGTTATATATAGAATTATAGATTCTAATTGTGTCACTTTTAAAAGAAAAAATTCCTAAACATTTAGTAGAGAATAATTTAGCTTTTATAAAGTACTAATATACCTCAAAACTTGTAGCAAATGCAGGTTACTTTGTAAAATTTAATAAAATAAGAAAAATTGTGAATTTTAATTGTGTTGAAACCCTTATTTGAATTTACTTTGAGGTTTCACATTAGAATATATATATATACACATATACATGTATATAATATATATAATATATATATATATATATATGTATATGGAAGTAACAACTGTGTGAATCATTGCATTTGGTTCACTTAAAAAATGAGAGTTACAAGTGAAGAAAACTAGGAGGAGAGTTGTTTTTTAAAGTCGGTTCCAATGGTTAAGGTTGATTTGAACTAACAAATGCTGTTTAAGGAAATTTGATGATAGAGTCTGCTGGACACAGTAACAATTAGAAGACTGCAATGTAAAATTAATTTATCCAGAGGACTTTTTGTTTTCTAAAGCTTTTTCTTTTTCTGGACTCTACTTGCTGTTCAGTGGCCTGAAGAGTTCTTTCAGTGAACCATAATAGTTCATTGCTTAACAATTCTTTTTAAAGATATCTACTTCTAAAATTACCTACTTGGGAATATGAAGGATACTGCTGGAGTTTTAGAAATAAGAAGCAAGGATCCAAAGCGCTATAGGGTTAAGATGGAGTTTTTAGAAGTATTTAAATGGCGCTTTGTGATGGGAATCATTATTTGCAATTACAACAATGTTGCTCAGGAAGTTAGTATTTTCTAAGTATGTGCATATTGCACGGTTAGAGCATAGAAATCTCTGAATGCAATATTTAATTCTTTATATATGCATACACTATAAATCTTTTGTATAATGTATTTTATACAAATGCAAAATGGATTGTAGAGCATTATTAGTATGTACATTTGTAAAACTGGTTTTTAAAACTTTTTGCCCCTTTTCATATTTTAAAAAGATCTTAAAAATAAAGTTTCTATTTTATTATTCAATCTAAAATGGAAGCTGTTGAATTTAATTGAATAAAGCAAACCTTTTCTCTTCTTTCAAACTAGTTGATATAAAGACACCATGCACTATGTATCCTGGCCGGTGTGGCTTGGTGGTTGAGTGTCAACCCATGAATCAGGAGGTCAGGGCACATGCCTAGGTTGCAGCCTTAATCCCTAGTAGGGGTTGTACAGGAGGCAGGCAAAACGGTGATTCTCATTGATGTTTCTCCCTCTCCCTTTCTCTGAAATCAATTAAAAACAAACCCCCAAAACACTATGTAAGATAGAGCAAATTGCCAAAGGTTTACTAATTCAAATTCCTCCCTTGTTATACTGAAAATTCACTGGATTACTTATAGTATGTAAATAAAATGAAAACGAATTTCAGATGAATGTTCTTTGAGGGATCTTGGATCTCATGGAAGAAGACCTCATAAAGCAGGGTTCAGAACTTATTAGTGAGTTGTAGCTCAGTCATAATAATGTGCTCTACTTATGTGTAAATTTAATTATGAAACAAGAAACCTTTATACTTAATTTTTAAAAACTACATTAGCAAAAGAATTGAAGTTCTTTGGAGTTTTTATTCAATGGAGGAATTTATGTAATCCTTTTAGCATTTTTATTATCATCTTGCTCTTAAAACTGTAATTACATCTTTTTTTTTTTTTTTTAAAGGTTTTGTTTTTTTTTTTTAATTGATTTTTTTACAGAGAGGAAGGGAGAGAGATAGAGAGTTAGAAACATCGATGAGAGAGAAACATCGATCAGCTGCCTCCTGCACATCTCCCACTGGGGGATGTGCCCGCAACCCAGGTACATGCCCTTGACCGGAATCGAACCTGGGACCCTTCAGTCCGCAGGCCGATGCTCTATCCACCGAGCCAAACCGGTTTCGGCATTACATCTTTTTTTAATAATAAAAAAAAATGTTTTTATTAACTCCAGGACTTCTACCCATATTAAGGGCAAATCACAGACACTACATTTGAGGTAGTGGGGAAGGCAGGTTAATATCCTCTGAATTTGTTAGCATTCTCTTTTATGCAGTGTTGTCAGTCCATGAAGCCAATGATCACACTAATATTACACTGGCTGCCAAATCTCTTAGTTTGTTATCATGACTGTAATTACCTTGAGTTTCCTGTTGGTTTGTGCAAGAATATTTGATACTGGCATCCCTGAGTTATTTTACCAGATAAAATCTATATTAATAAATTAGCTTTCCCTATCAAATATATTTAAGTAGGTTCAAAATAAAACAGGACACAATTTTGTTTTGTATGAATTTAACATGTAAACAAATACAGAAAAATAAGCACTAAAGCAACAAAACAATATCTGCTTGTTAGCAATTTTAAAGACACTTCACCAACAAGTACTTTTTTATATATAAGATGCTATCTCTGCATTAAAGTTTACCTTCCTATGGAATAACTTCACAGTCTGAGATTTTAAGCTATAAAAACAAGGTTCATGCTGGCAAAGGAACCTGCAAACATTCTGCCTCTTTTCCAAAGGAGACAGACAATGCACTTGGGGAGATGACTGGGGCTTCCCGAAGCAAACCCCTGCCCAAAGGGCTGTCGTACCACCTTCAGGACTAGACTGTTGAAGACAGATGAAAGCTGGGGAGAAAAATACCTGTATCTTTGGTGTATCTGCCCTATTCAAGCAGTTATCTGTAGATTTACAATACAGCAAGCAAACAGAAGCACAGACATAAGCTTTATAAATTAAATGATATTAAGATACTAAGGAAGTGAGAAAATAAAACACCTATGTTAATTATTAATCCTAAATGACTGCCCATTACAACTAAAACTTTAAGTGAGGTTTCTACTCTAAGTACAATCAATTGCTGCTTTAAAGTAGACTTATTCATGTTTTCCATTTAAAATTTTTTATAAGTTTCTTTAAAGAAATATTTCACATATGAACAACATAAGCACTGGACTAATAACGGTCCTCACCCATCTCGAATTATCTGAGGAAGTATTAAAATGGAAAGTGATCTTTTTCCTGAAAAAGCCATTTTACAAAATGGCACAAGACAATATAAATTTTTCCCACCAGAATAGAAGATGGGAATCCAGTCAGATTACAATATATCTTGTGAGGAAAACATGTTTGTTTCTCAAAACAGTGTTTTCAATCACTTTACAAGCTATAATTTTTTAGAGGGCCAGACACAGAGGTTATTTCTAGATACTAAGAGAATGAGTACATATGGTAAGGTCTGGTTGGTCTTTAAGCAGTTCTTATAGAAAACTGTTTACAGAAAATCAAGCTCAATTTCAAGGTTGAGTTTAATGGTAAGGGTAGAAATAGAGTCCAGGATTCTGAGTTTCAGGTTAGAGGGTAATAGGTGATATCTTCCCAAAAGGTAAAAATAAACATTTCTTTTGGTAGGTAATACTAATAAATAATTTTTGAAATATATGACTTCCATTCAAAATCTTTGGCATTTGTGAGTCTTTAGAGGCTAAGGTTTTTAGGTATTCCCCCTCATTCTCACTATAAAAAGTCAGGGGAGCTAGTTTTTAATTAAGACAAAAGATTAACCTTAATTTCAAAGTGACCTGAGTTTTATTCTGCACTGTTATATAAACCAACTGGATGGCTATAAAGTCCTTTGAAATATAAGAGGCCATCATGCCTCGCAGGTTGCACACATGCATTCTGCAGTGAGATTTGTGTGACTAGAATTTACCCCACACTTTTGTAAAGTACAAATTTAAATGCCTAATTTTTCATAAGCCCAATTATTTGAAATATCAAAGTTATTACAGTGAGATGATGATTATTTCACATATTGTGTGGTATGAAGTTACCAAATTCAAGTATACTTAATATTCCTCCCAAGTCTTTGCACTGGCTGAGATGTAAGCTATAAAATTTATATAGCTCTGACTGATATTTTTCTCTGTGTATATTTTTTATCACAAACTTCTAATCTCATATGCAATTTTAAGAACTCAGGTAGGTTTATGGAGTCATCATATAGTAGCATAGAACATACCATGTAAAAGTAGAAAGTAAAATTAATTTCAAGTATTTTGTTTTTAAAGTGCTCCATGTGCAGTATTAAATCAACTTTCAGGTTACAGAAACCCATTATGATGGCAAGTAATAGTTTTATAAAACATCAGAAAGCAGTTAAATAAAAATAATTTTTTCAAGTATGAATATATAGATTAAAAGATGCAAAAACTCTTTAGGCACATTCTAATCCAAATAATACCAAAAATAAAATTTTCACTTGAATACGTAAGAGGGATAAAGAGGTGCTTGAGAAGGAATGTCAGAGTGTCAGAGACTAATTGGTAAAGTAACTAGTGTGTAAACTCAAAATGGTACTGAATATTTTGGTAACAAATATTGTCAATAAAACAGAAACAAAAATACTTACTCATTCCTTATCAGAAATAAGGAAATAAATCTGTCCAAATGCTCAGAAGCTGTATCATAGAAATATTTTTGGGGAAACTTCATAGCTAATAGGTTGCTTCATCCATGTTGTCATCACTGTCTACGATAAAATCATCTCCGTTGTCAAAGTATGAATTAATGTAGTCATTTTCCTAAGTGAAACAATAGATCCCTCAGTAAACATTAAAATGAATGAGTAGTAACATTATTATTAAGAAACATATGTAGGCTGTCCTTTTAAGTTTACAAATATGAAATTTAGGTAATAAAATACATCAGGCTTAAAAGGAATCTCTGCTATGCCATCTGCTTAGAAAACACATTAGTTTTCACTCGCATCTACCTGTGCTGCTTTCTTCAAGACCACCACCTCAGGCATCAACTAAGAGAACATGAAGGGATGCCTATTACACTTTAGTCTGACACATTTAATTCATTACTCCTCAGTGGGATGATATATGATTAGCTAAAACACTGAGCACTTATTTAAAACAAATGTACGGACACTTAAGAAACAGCCAATTTTTACATTAACCTTAGGCTACACTAGAACTAAGGTTTTCAGTCACAATGCACAACTGAGCAAAAGCAGAGGGAGTTTTGCTTCCTATCAAAAAGGCCTCAAGAAACCAAATCAAAACTAGAGGATGCTGTAATACATTCCATCTACAGCAACTCATTTCCATTAGGTCAAGAGGGGTTAGTCCCCAGGAATATTCCACTTCTTATGGCCAAGATTATTACCCATATAAGTGACTTAAGATAACTCTATGCTTTCTATCAAAAATTCTCAACAAACAAGTGCTGGTGAGGATGTGGAGAAAACTCTAGGACACTGCTGTTGGGAATGCAGACTGGTACAGCCACTATGGAATACACAGTATGGCAGTTCCTCAAAAAATTGAAAATGGAACTGCCATTTGACCCAACAATCCCACTTCTGGGAATATATCCTAAGAATCCTGAAACCAATCAGAAAGAATATATGAACCTATGTTCATAGCAGCATTATTTACAATAGCTCAGATTTGGAAACAGCCAAGTGCCCATCAGTAAATGAGTGGATAAAAAAAAAAAAAAGTGTTAGATTTACACAATGAAATACTATGCAGCTGTAAAAAAGAAGGAGCCCTTATCTTTTGAGACAGCATGGATGGACCTGGAGATGACTATGATAAGCTAGTTAGAAAAACACAAATAGAACATGGTCTCACTTATATGTGGAATCTAATGAACAAAATAAACTAAGGAACAAAATAGTTCCAGAGGTATGGATGCATGGAACAGAATAACAGATCTCAGTGGTGGTTGGGAGTGTATGAGGGGATGGGAAGAGATTAACCAAAAAACATATATGCATATATGCATAATCCATGGAAACAGACAATAGCACGGGGAAGGCCTGGGGTGGGGCGGGGTTGGGTGGAGGGAGGCAAAAAGAGAGAAAATGGGAGACATCTATAATACTGTGAACAATAAAAAAATAATATTTTATTTCTGAATATAAAAGTGATGCATGACTATATTATACAGCACTTTTAAATGTAAAGATTAAAAGAAATTTAAGAAAATTACTAACCAACTGCAATTTGTGGACAGTATTTGGATTTTGATTGGAACAATTTTTTGAGACAATCTAAAAAATTTGAACAATGGCTTAATATTTGATATTAAGAAATTATATTTCATGCGTTAGGAATAACACTGATACTATAACATTGTTAAAGAGTTCCTATTTTTGAGTACATACTGAAATATTTATGGATCAAATGATACAATGCCTAGGATTTGCTTTATAATAATCCAAGGCACATGAGTTTTGAAGTGGGGGGGACAGGAACGAACTTAGTGGGTGAATGACTGAAAGATCAGCAATACAGTGATCATTGTTAAAGCTGGGCTGTTATTTTAAGTCACTAGATTTTTGCACATGATTGAAATCAACTACAATAAAAACTTAATGTCCACATCTCTACTGTCTACAGTAGGAATTAGGACAGTAAGAAATAGGGACTATTCCCAAAAGAAAGTCTCCTGGATACCATCTTATTTAGTATCTCCATGGTGGAATTTTATATATAAACTAGAGGCCCAGTGCACGAAAATTAATGCACTGGGGGGGGGGGGTGTCCCTCACCCCAGCCTGTGCCCTCTCACAGTCCGGGACCCCTCGGGGGATGTCCACCTGCCAGCTTAGGCCCGCTTCCCTAGGGAGCGGGCCTAAGCCATCAGTCAGACATCCTTAGAGCTGTGGAGGAGGCGGGAGAGGCTCCTGCCACCGCTGCTGTGCTTGCAGCCATCAGCCGGGCTTGTGGCTGAGCAGAGCTGCCCCTGTGGGGGCGCACTGACCACAAGCGGGCAGGTCCTGCATTGAGCATCTGCCCCCTGGTGGTCAGTTCACATTATAGCGACCAATTGTTCTGCCTTTAGGGTCAATTTGCATGTTATCCTTTTATTATATAGGGTTTATATAAATAATGCAGGAAAGGTAACTTCTATTATTCAAATATATATATTTCATTACTCTGTCTTTCCTAAATACTGTAAGTTTCTGTATCTGGCTAAGACCCTTACCATTTCCAGGATGTTGGCTTGGCTTCTCTAGTGCCAAGTAATCCAACAATGTTTGGAAACTGGCTGAAGCCTGAAGCCAATGTATGGAGGAGGCATGGCATGGCTGAGAAATTGAAAATATGGAACGGGAAATGGCATAAGGCATAAGGTCTCAATAAAGGGCAGGACAATTAGCTCTAAACAGGATGAAGGACATTTCTTTTTCCGTTGATAAAAAAGAGAAGGAGGAGGGAAGATAGTTAGTTTGAAAACAGAGGAAATGAAATAAAAGAGAGTTTTCACTTGACGGTTTTATTTTCTGTATGAAGGTGGATGCTATATCTGCTAAAAGTGAAAGTAAAGGTAGTCAAGAAGAGGGATTAAGAAGAAAGATGATCTAAAATACTTGCAATGGAGAGCTGACTTGACAAGAGAAACAGAAAATGTGTTAGCCAGCCAAATGGGACTAGTGTGTTTTTTTTAGGGGCATCAGTTTTTATGATTCTTCAGAAAGCTCAATAGGCAGACTTGGAAGGAAAAGGAGGGAGACAATGTAATTGATCAAGTTTGCTTTGGTCTTGAGTATGTTCTGGGAGACCAAGGGATAAGAGCAATAGCAACAAAGAAGTTGAAGGGTGAGCAAGGGCTCCTTAGGGAAGGAAATAAAACAGGGAACCAATAAAGTAGAGATAGAGGATCAGAGGGTTTGGTAGTTTTAATCAAGTCAGTTCAGAAATAAAGTGAATGATCTGGAAAGAAAACTGGAGACAAATGTGATATGTTTAATTTAAAAATGTTTAGAGTTAAAATTTATCTGGGAGAATAAACAAACAATACTCAGAAGAATCCTGAAAAAGGGTAACACACTCTAAAATATTAGAAGATTTTAGTCATTAGAACAACGATGGTTCAGAAATAGAACAATGGAATAGAGTCCAGAAATATCTCTAAGTAGATGTGGAATGCTAACAGTTGAAAAAGGAGAATTTTAAATCAATGAAGAAAGCAAATCCTATCTAATAAAAGAGAAACATGGTAATTAGCGTATGACCGCTACCCTTCCCATTGGCTAATCAGGGCGATATGCAAATTAACTGCCAGCCAAGATGGCGGCTGGCAGCCAGGCAGCTTGAAACTAACATGAGGCTTGCTTGCTTCAGTGACCGAGGACTCCAACGTTCCGCGCCTGCCGCTGCCGGTCTCTGAGCCTGCAGTTTGAAACATTGTAACAAATATAGAAGCTAAACAAAACCCCAGAAACCAGCTTTCAGCAAGCTGGGATCTCAGAGCTAGAGTTGATACAGAGTTTCGATTATAGAACCTAAACAAACCAGATACCTGCTTTCAGCAGCTGAGACCTCAGAGCTGGAGCCAGGCTAAAGCTGGCCCAGAATTAAAAGAAAAAAGAAAAAAAGGAGCAGTTGGGAGCTTCAGTCACCCTCCCAGCCTGAAAACAGCCCTCAGCCCCTCACCCAGACTGGCCAGGCACCCCAGTGGGGACCCCCACCCTGAAGGGTGTGTGACCAGCAGCAAACAGCCATCATCCCCTCATTCAGGCTGGCCAGGCACCCCAGTGGGGACCCCCACCCTGATCCAGGACACCCTTCAGGGCAAACCAGCCAGCCCCACCCATGCACCAGGCCTACTCTATCCTATATAGTAAAAGGGTAATATGCCTCCCAGCACCGGGATCAGCGGAGCCACGAGGCCTCCCGGCACCGGGATCAGTGTGACAGGGGGCAGCGCCCAAACCCCCTGATCGCCCTGCGGCTCTGTGTGTGACAGGGGGCAAGGCTACAACCTCCCTATCGGCCCTGCTCTGTTCCTGACAGGGGAAAGCGCCCCAACCCCCTGATCGGCCCTGCTCTGTGCCTGATAGGGGGAGCTCCCCAACCCCCTGATCATCCAGCGGCTCTGTGTGTGACAGGGTGCAGTGCCCCAACCCCCTGATCGGCCCTGCTCTGTGTGTGACAGGGTGCAGCGCCCCAACCCCCCCCACCCCCCACGGGCCCTGCTCTGTGTGTGACGGGGTAGAGCCATAACCTCCCCATCGGCCCCGCACTGGGTGTGACAGTGGCAGCGCCCCAACTCCCTGATCGGCCCTGCTCTGTGGGTGATAGAAGGCGGCGCCCCAACCCCCTGATCGGCCCTACCCTGAGCGTGACTGAGGGTGGCATTGCAACCTCCCAATCCGCCCTGCTCTGTGCATGACAGGGGGCGGCGCCCCAACTCCCCAATGGGCCCTGCTCTGAGCCCGACCAGGGGCTGCACCTAGGGATTGGGCCTAACCTCTGCCACCCGGGAGCAGGCCTAAGCCAGCAGGTCGTTATCTCCCAAGGGGTCCCAGACTGCGAGAGGGCACAGGCCGGACTGAGGGACCCCCCCCCCCGAGTGTACAAATTTTTGTGCACCGGGCCTCTAGTTATTTCATAAATGAGGTTACCAACTGGCTAGCTATCTGGAAACAGGTAAAAATAGGTCCGTATCTCTCCTTTTATACAAATATAAATTTCAAAAGAATATGAAATTTAATGTAAAATAATTAAAGCAAATAATAAAGATTTCATAGTTGGAATAGTTTCAAGTTTCAGGGGAAGACTCAGTGTGGTGTGAGAAGCTGAAATGGAGAGAAGACAAAGATCATAGGAAAGGAGAAAAAACTCTCAGCCTAAGGTTACTGCATGAGGTCTCTACAAGTCCCAATGAGGCATGACCAACAAAGTTACCCTGTTCAAAAATATCTGGAATGATTCCAGCTTATTTTGAAACATACCATGTTTCTCAAAGTTGGAAATCTAAAATCCAAAACACTCACTCCTGACTCAGTCAGATACCTGAGGTTGGATTATAAATGTTTTCCTAGTGTCTACATGCACTTGTGGTGTAGGGATTTCCTCCTCAGACCTACACAACTAAGCCCTTAACTGCTGTTTTACTAGTAAAATTTTATGTCAATAAATTTTAATTAAATCAATCTTACCTATTTCCTTAACTGGTGGACTTCCGCCTACAAAGTTGCCTATCATTTTATTTTTAACTCCTATATTCAATTTGGCATCATTATAACAACAATGCTATAAAAATTCTCTTGATAGAAAGGAAATGATGCCAGTGATAAAAATATGTCCCTGGTTCCCATCAACTTGGTGCTCATTTTCATCTATTCCATATATCTGATTCCTTATTGGATAATTCTTAACCTTAATTACTTTGTTATCCTTACAAAATAGACCATTACCTCTTCTTGCTCTTCTTCATCATATTCCTCTTGTTCTGCAGCATCATCTTCCTCCTCCTCATCATCTTCCTTACTTTTCTCCTTGCTTCCTTCTTTTTCTTCATTTTCCTCATCTGATTTTTCACCATCACCTCTTTTTTCCAATTCCTGTTATAAATGAACTTAATTAACTTTTTTTGGTAACCCAATAGTCTTTGACATCCCTGCTCAGCCTCAAGAGAACACTGTCACCTATCACCTTATTCTAATTCTCCCTTACCAACACCTGCTGGGCATCATATAGGAAATTGTGAGTTAACCCAAGAAAGGAGGAACTCATTGTCTTATCATGACACTAGAGTTTTCTTTTATTTCATTACTTCATAATTGGGTCCCAGGTGATGCTGGGGGATCAGCTGTACACACAGTGCTTTATTTTTGTGATTTTTATCACACCTCAGTCAAAAAATATTGAATTGACTCCGTTTATGGAGAACTTTCAGAATGTTCTTTTGTTTCCTTCTAACATAGAAGGAGAAAAGAGAATGTAATGGTACTATTTCCAAATGTCTATGTTTCAGTTTATAAGTGAAATTACTTAAAACAATATCAAGTCATTTTGGGGTGAGTTATCCTATTTGTAGATTATCTATGTCTTTTTATTTCTTTTCTTCATTATTTACTTCCCATTTTCCAGGAATTTTGCTTCTTAATTAGAAAAAAGAAAGATTAACTCAACTCAGGTCAACATTAGCACTTATTAACAACTCTGCGAGAGGAGGCAAAAGAGAGATACAGAGTTAGAAAACTTTGCCTGATGATTCTATTTATCCACTTTGTTAAAATCACTATGCTATCATCTCATAACTTTAACTTTAACAAATTCCCATATTCTTTTATGAATAGCAACAATATTCTTCTATTTGATAAAAAATGAGCTGTCTTCATTACTGTCACTATTCAATCACTAAAATGTTCTACACTTAATATGCACAAGTGATAGGATAGCTAAGATGTGAATAATCTTAAACAGTAATCATAACACTAATTCATAAATTTGCAAATACTCCATCCTATTATAAGATATTTGCTTAGTAGAGTAGATATAGAGATAAAAACACATTTTACATTTGGACCAACTATAACTTAGTTATTCCTTTATTGGTTCGTAAATATTTATTTTTAGAAATTTCTTTATTATTCAAATTTGAATTTAAGGAAATAAAAGGCAACAAAAATACTACATCAGATAAACTCAGTTTCCCATCAAAATTCAAACTCTACTTTCCTGTCACTTCACCCCACTCAGACAGAACAAAAGAGACCTCTTATCTTCATACTAATCCATCTTGCCTTATGTAACTTATTATTACAATAGAATGTGTGCATGTTTTATAAGTGGCAATCCTTTGGAAAACTGCAAGTAAACAAAATCATAATTATAGATATTCTAAAGTGTCTATAAACACACACACACACACACACACGCACACGTGCACGTACACACACACACACACACACACGCACACGTACACATCTCTTTCTGCCATCTTTCCATGCCACCATAATGGTGTACATGAATGTCCTGGCTGATGCTCTCAGGACTATGAACAAGGCCAAAAAGAAGGCAAACTCCAGGTTCTTATTAGGCCATGCTCCAAAGTCATCTGGTTTCTAACTGTGATGATGAAGCATGGTCACATTGGCAAATTTGAAATTATTGATGACCACAGCACTGGGAAATATGTTGTAAAACTCACAGGCAGGTTGAACAAGTGTGGAGTAATCAGCCCCAGATTTGATGTGCAACTCAAAAGATCTAGAAAAATGGCAGAACAATCTGCTTCCATTCCATCAGTTTGCTTTCATTGTACTGACAACCTCATTGGGCATCACGGACCATGAAGAAGCAAGATGAAAACATACAGGAGGGAAAGTCCTGGAATTATTTTTCTAGGGATGTAATACATACATGCAAATACAATACCTCAATGGACAAAATATATATATACACACACATATATATAATGATGCTATGTTAATATTAATATATGAATTTTTTATTTTCTGTTTTAATGAAACCATAAATTTGTGTAGGTAAAAGGGAATTGTATTTAACTATGTGCAAGGTATGCACTGCATTTGAAAAATCATGCTATTAGCTATTATTTCATAATTATCAAGGAAATTATTTAAACTAGTTATAAAGAAATATAAAATTCATTCCATACTTTATATCCATTATTGCCACCTCAAATGCCTTTAATTTTTTTTTTTTTAAAATGTTTCCATTGATTTCAGAGAGAGGGAAGGAGAGGGAGAAAGAAATAGAAACATCAATGATGAGAGAGAATCATTGATTGGCTACCTTCTGCACACCCACTACTGGGGATTGAACCCGCAAACCTGGCATGTGCCCAGACCGGGAATCAAACTCTGATCTCCTGGTTCATGGGTCAACAACACTCAAACACTGAGCAACACAGGCCGGGCTCAAATACCTTTAAATAAATAGCTTCAACTTTACTTCTATGACATAGACCTAAATCAAACCCATAAAATAACCGATCAGTTAACAAATAGCAGATTTATGGAATTTAAAAAATGATCTAAGTGCTACACACATTGTCTCATTACTTCATTTTTTTGCATTAAGCTACTAGTTTGGGTTCATCTATGTAATAGTTTCCATTTTCTCTTCTATGAGATTTAACTATTTAGCCTACTACTTTACATATTTGTTTTAAGAATAATGTGACTAATATAATGAGAAAACACTTTAAAAACAATTAATTTACAGGTAGGAACCAGTTCTTCTAGTTTAAATATTAAATGGCCACCCTATTATAGTTCTCTTTGTGTGTCATGCACAATAGGAAGCTCAAAGGTTAGTTTACTGGTGTCTAGTGATTCACACGTTAAGTATGAAATCTGAGTGTACGTCACTCCCTCTCCATCCACAGAAGTTTTATTATAATAAAACTTGCAACTGCTTTTGTTGAAGAAATGAACAGTAACAGAGTCACCTGGAAGCTAATTTTGCTCTATTAAAACTGCTCATTGGAGTTTCTAGATTTGAAACTCCAGTTTTAACAATGTTTGTACTGGAAAAGGTGTTCCGATGCAGGGACAAAGAAAACAATCTGATCTGATGAGAAACCGCATTCAGAGGTCCAAATCAATCTTCTCATAGCACATGCCAACTTAGCAACTTCTTTCCAGGAAGCCTTATGAAAAGTCAGAATCTATGTTCAATCAATACAAGTTGAGTAGGTCTGCAACCCCATCGATCAGTCCACTACACTTAAACCTGTCAGTTAATGTTATTCCTCCAACACTATTCCTCTTGGTTTTATTTTCAGTCATGTTTTCTCCAGCTTGAGCACCGGTCAAAATAAAATAACAAAAATATGAGTTTCTGTTACCATGTAGCTGGCCAACTTGGCCAGGCAAGTAAAAGTTTTAAAGTAAGGAAGGGATAATAACACCCATCTCATCTGTAAGGAACAAAATATCGCCTATTGTGATGAAGTCTTTTTTTTTTATATATATTTTATTGATTTTTTACAGAGAGGAAGGGAGAGAGATAGAGAGTTAGAAACATCGATGGGAGAGAAACATCGATCAGCCGCCTCCTGCACATCTCCCACTGGGGATGTGCCCGCAACCCAGGTACATGCCCTTGACCGGAATCGAACCCGGGACCCCTCAGTCCGCAGGCCGACGCTCCATCCACTGAGCCAAACCGGTTTCGGCTATTGTGATGAAGTCTTAAGGACATAATGAATGTAAATCATCAAAGAGCCTCGTAAATAATTTTTCAAAAAGTGCTGGTGGTTATCATTATCATCATCCTCATCATCACCATCAATGCAAGGTATTACCTGCATGATACAATAACTTGGTATGCCCTTCATGGACAGTGATCTGTTAATATTAATCCATATTATACAATACATGTAATAACCATCTCAACAAATCCACTTCTAGAAATCGACCCTACACATGTGAAATGACATACTTGACATGAATTCAGCATTGTTTCTGGTAGTGAAACACTACATGAAACATAATGTCCATTAGTAGTGTATTGATTTAAAAAAATTATGGTTCATTCTTAAAGTGCAGCCAAAAAAAAAAAAAAAAAAGAGCCTAGTCTATACAGACTGACCTGGAACTATCTTGAAGACATTTTAAGTGATAAAATGAAAATACAAGAGTGTACATGCTATCTTTTGTAATTAAAGAAAAAAATTGTGTTTGCTATGCATAAAATATTTCTGGAAGGATATATAAGAAACTTGTAACATTGGTTGTCTACAGGAGGGGAACGGAAAGGGTGGGGGAATTTTCAGTTAATTAAACTTTTGAATTTTACATCTTTTTGGTTTTGAAATATAAAAATAAGTTCCATAAGTTATGGTTTTCCCTCAGTGTAATCTTCTACAATTAACATGAGACATTAGAAAATATTTAAAAAGTACACATACAACAATAGGAGAAAAACTGAAAAGTTTTTAAAAGAAATACATTTTAGGTATGTAACTCGTTTTTTTCCCTATGCATAATTCAAATGCAAGGGAAAAATAGGAACAGAGTGGAAAAGGAGGCAGGTGACAGAAGACAAGGCAAGTTGACAGGCGGGTGGTAGAGAAGGAGAGAATGGTGTCCCTTATCTCCCAGCCAACGATGTCAAACCTCCCCAGTTACCTGTGTGCTGGGCTCGGATCTGTCAATTCCACATGTTATTAAAATGTCAGAAAAGGTGAAAAGGCTGAAGAAGGCAAAGGCGGTATGACAATTTTTTCAGCTCACTCTTATAAGAAGAAGGAAACTTTACCTCAATTTTTTTCAATACATCTGCAGTATTAGTGAGTGAAGTGTCTTTGCCAGTATCGTTCACCTTTTTGGATTTGGGACCTGTTGAAGTAAAACCACTGTTAACACATTTTTACTAGTAAATAACAGCTATGGTATATTATATTTCTTTGCCTTCTAACATGCTGCCTAGCATAGTGGTATGCCATACTGGGCAATCACATAATTTGCAGACTGGATTGATTTTCTTAAAGAATAAACAACAAAAATCAGCACACCTCACGAATTTTCCATAATGATAAATAAGTGATAATCACCTAATAGGATATTTTCTAAGACTGAAACTAGATATCTTTTTACTAGTACTGAGAATTTGTACTGGCAAGTAATGCCACTCAGGTAAAAACTGCTAAAATATTATCTCCAATAGAGTCACTACAGGACCAGTGAAAAGCTCTCACAAATATATCATCTGCACTGGCTTCCTGTTCACTGATCAGTGTATTTTACTGTAAGTAGGGCAATTTTACCAAGTTTGGAAAATAAAAAACAAGTGCAGAATAAATATGCATTTGCCAATGGCTAAAGAGATGAGAAAGAGGTTATATTCAGTGCAACATAGCACTATATTTGGAATGAAGATCAAAATGGTTAATGTGAACATATCTATCATATGAATTTGAAAATTTAAAGCAATATAAATAAAATGTGTTAATGCCTTTGGGATATTGTTTTAAGCCATATAAAAATATTGCATTTTAGGCTGTTCTGAAACTGCAGGGACTAGGGAATTATTTCACACATAGGTCCTGCCAATCAGTTACCAAAGCATCATAATATACTACAAAATTGTCATTGTAATAAGAAAGTATTAAATTTCTTTCCCCAAATCATGCTAAATACCTAGAAATTACTTGGCAACAAGAAAATATGGCTCAGAAAGATGTAATTTTGTTAAAGATTAATATTTAACCTATAGAAGAAATTTTTAGATTGTGGTGGATGATCCATAACTAATGAATTATAATTTACTGCGTCATTCCAAATTGCCCCTTGGGTAATCACCAAGCTCAGAATTCCCAAACATATATATTAGTGAGGTTTTGCTGGAACAAAAGTAATGGTTAGATTTAATAATGGGTAACTTTCTCAGTCCCCTTGTGGGCAAAGTCTGTTTAATTTGAACTGTAGCACATAAATATACAGTATCATAAATGAACAAGATCTCAATATCTATATATATAAAAGGTTAACATGCAAAGTGTCCCCTTGGAAGTTCAACCGGGAGACTGGGAGTTCAATCGCTCGCTAAGATGTGCACTGGCCACCAGGGGGCAGTGCAGAAGGAAGGCCCTGGCCAGCAGCCAGAAGGCCCCAATGGGCCCTGATCATCGGCCAAGCCTAGGGACCCTACCCGTGCACAAATTTCATGCACTGGGCCTCTAGCATATTATAATATTGATGCCAGATAACATTAGCTAAAAATGTAATTTATTCACACCATTAAGTCTTTTTCTTTAAGGTTCTTTTATCATTTTATTTAAATTTCATAACACATAAGTCTGCTAAATTGGTACTAGAGAACAAGGTCAGGTAAATAAACTTATTAAAATTACTAATTTCTTAACCAAGAAAGTAAACTGTATGCTCAAGTCCACTCAGAATCTTTTCCTACTTATTATTCTCACTTTATATAATGCCTTAATTCATGTATGTATAAATGGGGGAGAAGTGTTAAATTACCAAAATTTGTTAAAAGACTGTTTTAACCTCAAAATATTAACATGAACTATTTTTCCATCTTTGGCCAAATATATGCTATTCTGGCAAATCAAATTCAAGGAGTAGTCATGGGGACATCTGATTTGTATCCAAGTCAGAGACAGGTTTGGGTAACCTGGGAACCTACTACTCATAATTGGCATCTGAAATGGGAAGCAGACTCGTGGGACTGAGCCCTTAACCTGTGGGGTCTGTGCTAACTCCAGTTTCTGTCAGAATTGAATTGAATTGTAAGACACCCATTGATGTTGCAGAGATTTGCTTGGTGTGAAAAAAACCCTCCATACGTCTGGTGTCAGAAATAGTGTGATGGGCATTAGTATGAGCGAAAGGAGAAAACACAGGAGTGTGTTTTCCTACAGACTGTTATCCAAAAATATACCAAAAACTCTTAAGAGTCAACAATAAGAATACAAAAACCCAGTTTAAAAAATGGGCCAAAGACCTTAACAGACATCTTGCTGAACAAGATATACAAATGGAAGGAAAGCATATAAAAAGATGTTCCATATCATATGTTATTGAGGAAAATTAAAACAAGATAAACAGTAAAAAATCTAGACCACTGAAAACACTGAATGCTGGCAAGGATGCAGAGCAACAGCAACTCCCATTCATTGCTGTTGGGAATGTAAAATGGTACAGCCACTTTGAAAGGCAGTTCAGTGTTTCCTTACAAAACTAAAACCACGGAATCCAGCAATCATGCTCCTTGGTATTTACTCAAAGGAGTTGGAAACTTATGTCCACACAAAAATGGATGTCTATAAAAGCTTTATTCGTAACTGCCCAAACTTGGAAGCAACCAGGATGCCCTTCAGTAGATGAACGGATAAAAACACTATTGTACAACTAGACCAGAGGTAGGAAACATCCGGCCGACGGGCTGTAAACAGCCAGCAAAGTCATTTGGTCTGGCCCTGCCAAGATATTAGGGGTGAGTTAATTACATTTTTGACCAAATATAGCAGGTTGATTTTTAAGTTGATAATTTTGTATGGCCTACAAATAATGTTTTGAATATACAAATGGCCCCTGGCAGAAAAAAGCTTCCCTATCCCTGAACTAGACAATGGAAGATTATTCAACACTATAAATAAATGAGCTATCAGCCATAAGAAGTCATGGAGGAAACTTAATTGCATATTACTAAATGAAAAAAGCCAATATGAAAGGCTATAGACTATGTGATTCCAACTATATGATATTCTGGAAAAGGTAAAACTATGGAGTCAGTGAAAAGAACAGTAGTTGCCAGGATTCAAGAGGAGGAAGGGATGAATAGGCAGAGTACAGAGGATTTTTAGGGTATTAAAACTATTCTGTTTGATAGTATAATGGTGAATGCAGGTCATATATTTATATTTGTCCAAAACCATAGAATGTAAAACACCAAGAGAGAATCCAAAGGTAAATTATGAACTTTGTGTGATAACGATGTGTGAATGTAGTTCATTGACTATAACAAAGGTGGGAGATGTTGGCAATGCGGCTATGCGTGCATGTGGAGCAGAGAATATCTGGGAAATCTGTATTTTCGGCTCATTTTTGCTGTGAATCTAAAACTGCTCTTTAAAAAAGTCTATTAAAAAACATAAACAGGGCCTGAAAAAAGAAAGGGGTGTATGAGTGGAATTTCTTCTCTTAGTTACTAAACCCATTGTTCTTAAACTCTCTGGCAATTCCCTTTTTCTCTCTTCATTCTTATTAGCAAAATTCTCTAGACTCCTCTATGCTAACTATCGCCATTTCTTAAACTCCCATTCCAATGTTTAACCCATTCTAATCTGCTGAATTCTACCTCTACAGATCTTTTAAAAAGCTCTCACTGAAGTCAGCAATGATCAACATGCCAAAAATTAATTTATATTTTCCAATCTTTATAGACCTCTCAGCAGCATTGTCTAGCGTCCTTTAGCATGGTTGCCCACCTCCTAAAATACTCTTCACCTCTGAATACTCTTCTGTAATCCCACTCTCTTGTTTCTCCTCCAACTCCTTTCTTTACTGAATCAGTTTCCTCTACCAGCCATTGAATTTTGGTGTTCCTCCAAGCTCAGGCTTTGGCCCAAGTTCCTTAATTTCACTCTAGACAACCTCATTCTTTTTCATAGTCTCAATTATAGTATCTATTCTGATGACTACCACCTCCCTTGAGGTCCATTCCCTCTGTATCCAACAACATATTCAACTTCGCTATTTTTATATCAAAAAAACAAAACAAAAACAAAGACAAAAACACAGCAAATCCAAACCCTTAAATACTATCTTTGAATTAAACTTATGATTTTCATTCTCAAATCAGATCTTTCTCCAAATCCCTCCCCCAACCTTATCTTAGTAAACTCCTATTCATTCTTGAACCTAGAGTCCAATTCCATCTCCTCAAAAAGCTTTTCCCTGACTTCTCAGTGAGGACAGTGGGTTTTTGTTTTTGTTTTTAATCATTTTACTGTTTATACTACAGTCACATGCAAATTGGCACAACTGTTCCATGACAGAGAACAAACAGAGACCTGTCATGCAAGGTAAATTAAGGGAAGGCTTTCCTAGAGCTGGAGGAGTACCACAGAAACACAGGATGACTGCAGCTATGTCAGACAGCAGCGCCAGGGGTGTGGATGGGTAGGAATGGAGGGTGCTCCTACAGTAGCTGGCCTCCTTGTATTGGCCTGAGACCACTATGGTTCCTAAGGAGAATTTCCTAATATGCTTGGTAAGCCGATCACTTGTAACCATTTATAATTGGGGTACGGTGACACTTCTGCAGAATAAATTCTAAAAGTTCCTCTAAATCTCATCTGTGATCAATGGTTGGTAAATTAGGATTCTGCAAGAGTAATACCATAAATGGACATCCAGGGAAGTTTTACAACCAGTGAAATTAGACCAAAAAATAACCACACGAACCAAACCTACACACTGAACTAAAATGATGTCACGTCAGGACTTCTGAAAGAACGAGAGCAGGCAAGATCACTCAAACAGAAGATCCTCATCCTTCTCTTCAGCCAGAAGGTTGGCAGGCTCCGTCACCTCTCCAGCTACCTTCCGTTTCTCCAATTCCCTCTCCGTTTTTTCCTTGAGAATCTTTTTCTTCTCCTGTATTTTCTTTAACCTATAGAATTCTTCTCGCTCGCTCTCATCCAGCTCTGCAATGATATAAGCAAGGGTGCGTTCAATCCTGGGAATGATGACATGTTCAAGGGCATTTACACGCCTGTTGGTTATCTTAACAGCTTCATCCAAAGTAACAAAGGACGTCTGCAGTGAGGCCAGGTCCGCCAGGAGCTCCACTGCTTGGGCACAGTTCCTCTTTAATTTAGCCAGTTGTTGCCCACCTCTGGCTAAACCAGTCAGTTCGTAACTGTCAGTTCCTTCATGGTAACGTTCAAATATTGGCAAGGTAACACCCGTTACATTATCTTTCTTTGCTCGAATCTTCACTTGGGCTTTATTCACGTTTTGGAGACCTATGGTGCTGAAGTCCCCTGCTGTGAACTTGGCCTCAGCAAGTGAAAAGGCAGCTTCTCTCATCACTTCACCCATTGACATTTAGTCTCTATGATCTTCTTTAGGATCTGTCGAAATCGAAGAGTTAGGGCATCAGATTTTTTCTTCAGGAGGTTTCGACCTGTCTGTGCTCCTTTTAATCGAGCCTTCATGATGGTCTGCGCCAGTCGCGAGGGAAAGATTTCAATTAGGTCTTGCCCGACATTCTGACGATGATCGTTCGACTTCGGCTCCCGGTCAGGCAGTCGGGGTTGCCACAGACCCACCCACAGAGTCTTCTTCCACTGTAGTCAGCTGGTAGTGTCACTTGCTCCGCCCCCCTCGCGTTGCTAGGAAACCGCAGGGATTCGCATTCTTCACTTCCGCTTCCTGTTGGCACCCCGGTTTTTGCTTTTAATGTTGTTACTAATGTAAGCTCCATTAGGACAAGGATTGTTCCCACTTCGCTCACTATTTAACTGCTCTTAGCAATGTCCAGCAAAAGTAGATACTGAACAATTATTTACTCGGTGGAATTATGAAAGCACAACACAATGGAAACTTTCACTTTGGTATTTTATGTACATAAAGTTCTATTCTACCAATCCCCAAATTTTACCAATTCCAAATGTTTCAACTAAAAAATGAAAAATCGGGCAATATAACCATGTACAAATTTTCAAATATGCAAATAAAATTGTCTACATAATTGAAAAGTCTTTCCTATCACATCAAATTCCATAATTTAATAAAATCAACAAAACAAAACAAAAAATCAACAAAACGAGCTTTAGCAAAATAATCAAAACGTCAATATATTTTAAGAAAAGGCATTCAGAACACTAAGTGTAGCTTCAGATTGACCATTCCACATTAGATACAATTTAAGCAATAACCTTTTCCTACCTGGATTGTTATTTTAGTCAATGTACCTTTTTTGAATTTTTTCCTTGGCATCATCTCTCTTGGGAGTCTTCTCCAATCTGTATGTCCAAAAAAAGAAATACAAAAATTGCAGTTCCTTCTACAAATTAGTGGTACTGGACATAATTATTTCAAAAATACAACAGTTGCTCAAGCAATGAAAATAAAATTTCTTAATATCTGATTGTACAGATTTAGCCTGGGTATCAAAATATCACAATAATGTTTTTTCTCCCATGAAGAAAAAGTGTTCATTAAAATAGCTTTGAAATAGTGCTATAAAATGTCTACAACATTCTTTTAACAGCTATTTATAAATAATGATTTTAATGACAGAAATTTTCATAACAAGCAAAGTGTAGAAGAATATTTTTCTACATAAAAAGTTTTGGGAATGAATAGATATGAAAAGTTATTCATGATAAACTGTTGATTAAAAAGTTTTTAAAACAATATATAGAATCCCCTTTAAAAAAAAGCCTAGCATAAGCGTGCTCTTGCTCTGTGTCTTTCCTGACCCCTCCACTTCTTCACAGGCACGTTACCTTTGTTCCTCTCTCTCCTAAGTTCCAGGGCCTTCTTGTGCCTCTAACTTGTGTTCAGTAGCACTATCCAAAGTCACCAAGACAGGTCACTTCATTTCAATGGCAACTTTTTTTTTTTAATGTATTTTATTGGTTTTTTTACAGAGAGGAAGGGAGAGAGATAGAGTTAGAAACATTGATGAGAGAGAAACATCAATCAGCTATCTCCTGCACACCCCCTACTGGGGATGTGCCCGCAACCAAGGTACATGCCCTTGACCAGAATCGAACCTGGGACCCTTCAGTTTGTAGGCCGACGCTCTATCCACCGAGCCAAACCGGCCAGGGCAACTTTTTTTTTTTTAATCTGCAACATAAATGAGCTGGATGAGATCTCTCCAGCCCCTTCTACCTTGTCTATATCCAATGCAAATGTATGAATGTTGTGGGGGAAAAAAAAACCCTCTTGAGTACGGTTCTTTCGAAAAGGCATCTTAACAACTAAAAATAGTCTATGTCTGCTTGAAAGAAAGGAAGATCCATGAGCTTAGCTTAAAAACCCTTAACACTAGATTCGTTCTTTCTTCAAAAGCTATCAAAAGCTTTCTTCAAAAGCAAATCACTCAGGAGCACAGAACTGAGTACTATTGGTACTACCGACTAAAACTGTGATTGTGGCAAATTAAAATTGAAAACCCAAATGGGTCTGCCAAATCCTAGTGTGTGTGTGTGTGTATATATATATATTTTTTTTCGGAACTTCCACAAAAATACTTCAGCTCTTCCTTGTTACAGTATAAAAACCTTGTCATCTTAGTTTTTATAAGATATACATTAATAATTGTGGAAAAGAGACAGACTCTATTTTACTATGGTGAAATAGAAAATTTGTCCTACGAAAATATGGTGTAGGAAAAATTGCCATTAATTATTATTTTAACATTCTCAGTTTTATAATTACCTGGTATCCACTCTTCTTTGTACACCTTCATATATCTTTTACTATATCTTTCAATATCTAGAAAAAAATTAAAAAGTGTTCATTAGAAAAATCAAGAATAAACCTGGATTTAAGCCTTTCCTTTAAAATAACTGAAAACACCAGGTATCTTTTACTTCACATTCAGGGAGGTTTCCCACATTTGTACATAATGTATCCCTGAACACATACTGAAGAGTTCAATGAGCGTTGAAGTGTCAAGAAGCAGCTGCGTATGAATGGCTGGAACTGAGCAGAAACCTAAACTTTAATTATAGCTCTTAGAATCAGACAACCTGACTCATCTCTGAGGACAGTCACAAAAGCCAAAGACACTGTCAGGAAGCCACTTACATACAAGGGCAAGGAGGTCTACTCAGCACCTTCTATTTTCTTCTGCTGACACTGGTCTCCAGCTCCTAATCCAGTGATGGCGAACCTTTTGAGCTCGGCATGTCAGCATTTTGAAAAACCCTAACTTAACTCTGGTGCCGTGTCACATATAGAAATTTTTTGATATTTGCAACCATAGTAAAACAAAGACTTATATTTTTGATATTTATTTTGTATATTTAAATGCCATTTAACAAAGAAAAATCAACCAAAAAAATGAGTTCGCGTGTCACCTCTGACACGCCTGTCACAGGTTTGCCATCACTGTCCTAATCTGTAAACCTTGTGTAACTGGGATGTATTAAGTACCTCAGTGGGGATGGAGGGCTGTTTGCTCACTTCCAACACATTCAGTTAGGCTTCTCAATTAGCCACTTTTCACAACCCACTGGGGAGGAGAGTGAGGAAAAGGGTAGGAGTAGGCGAGGTTGGACTCGATGGGGCCATGAATGAGCAAGCTGAAAGCCTTCATGCCAACTACTGAGAACTCTGCAGGGATCTTCTGAGTTTGCCAAAAATGGATGAGTCACAACTGTGTCTCTTGCTTCTGCTTTGTCCACTTTGCCACAAAATCAAGGCCCAAATATGTAATGATTTTTTTCTATGTTAAGAAAATGCTTCCATGCCGAAACCGGTTTGGCTCTGTGGATAGAGCGTCGGCCTGCGGACTGAAAGGTCCCAGGTTCGATTCCGGTCAGGGGCGTGTGCCTGGGTTGCGGGCACATCCCCAGTGGGGGATGTGCGGGAGGCAGCTGATCGATGTTTCTCGCTCGTCGATGTTTCTGACTCTCTATCTCTCTCCCTTCCTCTCTGTAAAAAATCAATAAAATATATTTAAAAAAAAAAAAAAAGAAAAGAAAATGCTTCCAAATAATACTAAGACCATGGTGTTAGACAAAGATAACTAAAAATAACTAAGGCAGATCAGAGGCCAAGAGACCAGGCTTTTCTAGGTATTTAACTGTTTGACATCAATCTTGCTCTCAAGTTTTACATCTATAAAGAGAAGTCGGCACAAATGAGAGATTTCCGGCATTTGCATTTTATAATTTCTACAAAACAGATTCCATATTTTGAAAAAAAATTTAACCCACAGTATACTAAGAAAAACAGTTTTTACCTGCTTTCAATGAACCATTTTTTATATTTTTAAATTACTTTCAAATAATTTACAGAAGAATAAGAGGAAGTACTGGGACCCAAATAAAAAGAGGCCAATATTTTGAATAACATTTCACCAAAGATATAATACATGGACAAAAAGCACATGATAAGATATTGAACATCATTTGTCATTAGGGAAATTCAAATCAATATCACAATTAGGTACCATTTTATACTTAGTAGGATGGCTAGAACCAAAAAGACAATAACAAGTGCTGGCAAGGAGTAGAGAAACTGAAAATCTCATACATTGTTGGTGATGGGAAAATGTGCAAAATTTTGCAAAAACAGTTTGGAAGTTCCTCAAAATGTTACATATAGAGTTAACATATGACTCTAGATACATACCCAATAGAAATGACTTATGTTCACATAAGAATGTATACATGAATGTTCATAGCAGCATTACTCATAGCAGTCCCAAAGTAGAGCTTACCCCATTATCTGCCAACTGATGTATGGTAAACAAAATGTGGTATATACATAAAATAGACTATTACTCAGCCATAAAAAAAATGAGGCATTGATACATTCTATACCATGGACAAACCCTAAAAACATGCTAAGTGAAAGAAGCCAGTCACAAAAGGAAACATATCATTTCATTTATATGAAATATCTAGAACAGACAAGTCACTAGACACAAAGCAGATTAGTGGATGCCATGGGTTGGATGGAGAATGGGGGTGTGATACTACTGATTATAGGGTTTATTTTCTGAGTGATAAAAAGCTTATAAAAATTAGATAGTAGTATGGTTGTACAATTCTGTGACTAATCTAAAAGCCACTGAACTGTATACTTTAAAAAGTGAATTTTATCTCAATAAAGCTGTTATTTAAAAAGAATAAAAATTATCAGAAATTTTAATAAGAAATTAAGTAAACTCAAATCTATATTTCATTATTTTTCGGTTTTGAAGGTATATTTACCTAAAATGGCAATGTTCTTTGAGTGCAGCTAACTGTGCATCAGTTGTCTATTCTGTGTTTGTCATGCACAAACCCTGAATGCATGTGTTTCATAAATACTATCCTGATTCCAGATTTGAAATGCATCTTTAGTAAGTACTAACTTATTACTTCTGATTCTTCTTACACTTGCACTATCTAAATGATTCAAATTATAAATGCATGTCTAATAAGGTTCTAGCTTATCATTACTTCCAATTCTTCTTATACTTGCACCATCAAAATATAGTACTTTAAAAAACTTTGATGGCTCACATTTTTGTTGAAGAGAGGATGAGCCAGCTATCTTCTTTGGTCTATAATTAAAAAAACAGTTTCATTATTAAATTTATAATCACCAATTAACAAACAAACTACTAAATCGTTTAATTTCTACATAATCTATTTTTTTAAATCATCTTTGTCTTTGCCTTCAGAATTTGTCCACTTACAAACTACATCAAATAAATTTGGTATATTAATATCATAAAAAAAATATATATGGTCACATGTCATTTTAGCAAACAGGATGTTCCAAATTCTTTTCACAAAAAAATATGTAAATACATGCTTTTCAAAGATTAACTACATGAGAATACCATATTTCCTTTTTATCCTTAAAAATGTTGTTTACTCATTGATTCTTGAGTTTGAGAAAATTCACTTAGGATATTATCAAATGACGACAGTCTGAAGTTTTGTTTATATAATCAATTTCATCATTAGTAACCAGAGAGCTGCTATTTCTGTCTCTTTGCATTCATCTTCTGATTTGTCTAGTAATTGGGAGACATCTTCCTGTCAATTTTCTTCTCTTTGCCATTATGAGCAGAAAAAAGTTTAAATTCTCAGTTGTATTCTATAAAAGCAAAAACAAAAACAAAACTACAAAGACAAGAGACTCTCCATACTTCTTTTATATCTTCTTAAAAATTAATGTAATACTTTAGGCAACACAATAGGAAAACTAAAGGGTGATGTAATAGTGATTGATGATTTATTCCAATATTGCATAATCCTTCTATGTAATTTTATCATTCTTCTATTTTTTTTAATATTTTAGTCTTTTTTTTTTTCAGCATAGTGCGGAGTAATGAATGAATGATGAAATAATATCTACAATGATGAAACACCAAAATGTTTCAAGGCAGGACAAATAAGATCACTAAGATTCCCAAATGTATTTTAGATTAATAAAAATGTCAAATGAACTGATATGGTAACGCTAATAAAAAATGAGGTGTTTTTCAACTTAAGTATCCATTAACAGATAAATGGCTAAAGACAATGTGGCGTATATACAATTCAGCCAAAGAAGGAATGGATGAACAGACCTTGAGGACACTGTGCCGAGTGAGATAAGTCAGACAGAAAAAGACCAATACTGTATGGTATCACTTATGCGTGAAATTTAAAGAAGCCAAACTCTTAAAAACAGAAAGTAAATAATAGTCAACAGGGGCTGTAATGTGCCTTACAAAGAAAATGCATACATTAAATGTCTTCCTTCAGGCATGAGTTATAGTGTTGTTGGTTGTAAATGCAATATTAATGAATTAATAGTATTGATTATATTATTAATGAATCAATAAATGTTTTAAATAACATTTTTAAAAAGGTGTTTTTTGAAAAATTTTAAAGTAAACGGTCTTGTCCTTTTGAAGATCTCTATGAAAAAAATAAAAGTTACGAATACCAATCATTACATATAGTAAGAACTGCTCAAAAAGAAACTCAAAAATTAAAATAGGGTTACATGGATCCTAATGGTATATATATCAAGAGTTAATAAAACAAATTCCATGTATTCAGTACAAGACATTATGGCCATATCACAGGTAAATTCATAATTTCCACTGGGCTTTAAGTTCTAAAATGGCTTACAGAACCATCTCCTCTGTCACTCCTATTTCTACAAAAAAATCCCATGGCTCAGGAACCTGAGCTGGGAACCACTGGACCAGAGGATCTCTATGTACCTCTGCAGCTAAAATTCAATAAAATTCATTGGTGTTTTTCCTTTATTATAAAAATAATAAACTTCATTGTAAAGAAAATACCAATCACTTCTAAAATTCTACCTGAAAACGTAAACAAGCCTTGAAGACATCACAACGTTAAATGTTTATTCTGTGCCCCAGTTCTTTGTGACAAATCTCAGTGCCCCAAGCCACCAGCGACTTGATTATCAGGAATTCTTGTGATATCCTGCCCTATTTGTTTGTTCTAGTCTCTAGTAATTTAGTTTTTTACATTAGTCCATAAGCATCTCTTTCCTAAAGCACGTAGGTGGCAAGTGATGGCAGAAGGCTGGTAAAGGTGCAGTGATGTAACATTATGTAAAACGTTATCTCCCTCTCACAGTTGATTTCCATTCAGTCTGGCCAATTATTTTTCATTCATGGTATGTATAGTATATAAACGTGTGTGTATGTGTGTGTGTGTATATATATATATATATATAATACCATATTAACCTATATAAACATATGTATGCTTATATTTTAAAAACCATTATTTTCAACCATAATTTTTTAAAAAAACAGATTACATCAGGAAAGAGAGTTAAATATGAAGATTTCAAGGAGAATGTACTTTATTAGTTTAGAAAATCCTATGCAAATTTTCTCCTGAATAAAAATAACAGAAGCAAAAGATTCCTATATTTTTAGATATTTTATTGTGCAGTTATCAAAGATAAAGAGTCTTTAAAGATAAAGAGTATCTTTATCCAGGTACAAACCAACCACTCCCAGAAACCAGCAATGAAATTATGTTCTTAATGTGCCTGTCTAAAAGACTTGCATGAATACTTTAATGACATGACACACTTTTAAATTAGACATGTGCTTTAATACCAAGCACATTTAGTTAAATAAATTTGTTTTGCAGTCTAGAGAAAAGACTAATTTTAAAAATATATATATTTTTATTGATTTCAGAGAGGAAGAGAGAGGAAGAGATAGAAACAGCAATGATAGGAGAGAATCACTGATTGGTTGCCTCCTGCACACCCCCTACTGGGGATCGAGCCTGCAACCTGGGCATGCCTCCTGACCAGGGATCAAACCCTGACCTACTGGTCCATAGGTCTAGGCTCAACAACTTAGCCATGCTGGCTGAGCAAAAAAGACTAATTTTTGAAAAGATTCAAGTATACCCTACATTGTTATTTTTCTAATAAGAATGAATATTTATTAGTTCACTTAGTGTTACTTTTTAAAATCTTTAATGTGAGAGATTTAATTTCATTTTCAATTCAAAGAAATAAAAGTATGCAACATAATCATGAAAGTTAAAAAGTTCAGTATGTTGAAGTAAAAAAATTCAGTATTTTTTAAGTAAAATTATCTCTTTCTTATCAAACCATTATGTAACTTCAAGCAGTTATAGTTTGAAAAATTAAATGAACCTGTCTAAAAGGCTTCTTATAATTACAAGCACATATAATATTACTTGTCAAGACTTCCTTTTGACTCTTAGCCAATTCTAGCTTCCAGAGAGAGGGAAAATGGAATGCATTTTTATTACTAATGGAATATGATGATACTATATGAATTTCTCATGTTTTAATGATGTTGTTTTGAAAACTCAAGAATGATATCGATCTCTCTAATTTCACCATTCAAGGGCAGAAACTGAAAATCAATATAGATCTACTTTGCTAAATAAGCACTCGGAAATGGGTTCCCTGCTTCTAAAAGCACTTCCCACTTCCAGTCTGAGACTGTCAAACCTTCTCCAACTCAATCTTCTCTCTGACCTTAGCATAACCAATGAATATGTGTTTTGTATTCTATTATATCTGATGTATAAATAATAAGCCAAAATACAGTTAAGGCGTTTAAAATTTTTAACCAAAATATGAAATAATCTGAGGCCTGCATATAGACTTATGTATAAGGATAGTAATCATGGCATTATATATGAGAAAAAAAAAATTAGAAACAACCTTAAATCTAACAGTAGGAAATTAGTTACAATTAATGTTATATCCACAATGAAATACCATGTAGTCATTAAAAATCATATTTTCTAAGAATACTAAGGATAAGCAAAAATGCTAATAATATGCTACTGAGTAAAACAGGGAGATACAAAGTAACATGAGTTCAATTTTATAAAAAGAATACAGCCCTAACTGGTTTGGCTGAGTGGATAGAGCGTCGGCCTGCAGACTGAAAGGTCTCAGAATACACATGCAGCCCTAGCTGGTTTGCTCAGAATTTAGAGCGTCGGCCCTCGGACTGAATGGTCTAGTGTTTGAGTCCAGTCAAGGGCATGTACCCCTGGGTTGCAGGCTGGATCCCCTGCCCTAGGAGTGTGCAGGAAGCAACCAATCTACCATCTCTCTCTCACACTGATGTTTCTCTCTCTGTCTCTGCCCTTCCCTTCCACTCTCTCTAAAAGCATACAATGGGTGAGGATTAACAACAACAACAAAGAATACACACACAGAAGAAAATTTCTGGACTGTACTAGAAAATATTTTAATCTAGACATAAACATTATAGATGAGTTTCACTTTTTAAGTATGTTTTGTTTTTCATAATTTTTTTTAAATATATATTTTATTGATTTTTTACAGAGAGGAAGGGAGAGAGATAGAGAGCTAGAAACATCGATGAGAGAGAAACATCGATCAGCTGCCTCCTAGACATCTCCCACGGGAGATGTGCCCGCAACCCAGGTACATGCCCTTGACCGGAATCGAACCTGGGACCTTTCAGTCCGCAGGCCGACGCTCTATCCACTGAGCCAAACTGGTTTTGGCAAGTTTTTCATAATTTTTACTGAATACATAAAACTATTGTGAAAGGTAATTCCACAAATAAAATATCAAAATTTTTAATATATATTTTCTGTTAAATCAACATAAATACACTTTTTCAAGGTAGGATAATTCCTGACTAAGTCGAATCAGCCAGTACGGAATGATCATATATCTTGTGCCAAAGCATTGTTTCATCTGTACGCACTGAGCCACAAAATCGCAGTCCAATACGCACCTTGCTTTTCTTCAGGTGTTTCTATAAAGTAAGGCATTCTTTTCACAGTTTCTCTCAACTCCTGTTTTAAGGCCAGCATATAATCTTCACCCTCTCCTGTTTTCAGTGGCACTGGTTTATAATCTGTATCCTGTTTTAAGTTAAGAACAATGATTTTTTTAAATAAATATCTTAATATCCCTTTTGCCTACATTCTGGAAAATGTCAGTTTTATTGAAAAACTACATTTTGTAGGCAATAAGCTTTACAATCAACTTAAAAGATGTTGAGTTTTTGTAATCTATTTAACCTTTTAGCCCATTTGCTCTTATTTTAGAGGTAGGAAAGATGGTTAATTTTTCTACTGGCCCTAATTTTCCTGATGACAAAATAACCATTTTGCTATATAGTTTGTTTACTGCGATTTCATATTTTAAAGATCAAGGCACCCAAATGAGAGTAACTGCTATCATTTTCTATTAACCTCAACAGTGGTGGTAGTATTGGTTGGAGCAGTAGCATAAAAAAAGTAATAGTAGCAGCTATCATTTAGCAAGTGGTTGCTAGGACTAGGATGTACTCAATATTCAACATCTGTGATCTCATTTAAAGTATCATCAATATTTCCCATTTTACAGTGAAGGAATTGAAGAAGTGAACAATCGTAAGCCCACAGAACATGTAAAGCAGGAGTTTGAAATTACATCTTCAGTTTTTAAAAGTTACATGCACACACACATATTCATAAAAAAGTAGATCCTCAGGGCATATAGTAAAGACATTTCTGGTTTCAGAGGCTAAGTGTAGGATACATTGTCAAAATTTTACTCCAAATTTATCCATTAATTCTACAACTATTTATTGAGTGCCTACTATAAGCCAGACATGGTTAGACAAAAGGCTATACCATGAAGACTAGTCAAAGTTCTTCCCCTCAGGAAGCTTACATTCTAGGGGAGAAAAACACAATAAAATAAGTAAACAAATGAGTTGATATGTAATTTTGGGTAGTGATACGTGCTATGAAAAAAATGAAGCTGGGTAGAGGAAAAGGTGACTGGCAGTCCATGGAGGTTGGAGGTGGCTATTCTACACAGGATAAGCATGCATGGCCTCTTGGGGAAATCCCGTTTGAGCAGAGAGCTAGATAAAATTAGGAAGCCATCTATGCAAAGACTTTGGGAACAGATGGCTCCAGCCAGAGGAACCAGCAGAGGAAAATGCCTGAAGGAACAAGGAGGCCAGGAAGGCTAGGGAGAGAGAATAGTGCGGTAGGAAAATGGTCAGAGAGACATAAAAAAGGCCAGATCAGACAGCCTCTTAGCCAGTAGTAAGGAACTCCAGTTTTATTCCATGTATAAAACAACAGTGTATACTAACAGCTCTAGTGTTTAGAAGTAATCCCACACATGGACAAGAGCCTTGTTTTAAAAGAAATAAGCATAAAGTGGTATTATACCTATATCTGAGATATTTATGTTTGTTTTTTTGGTTGTAGTGAATATAGGGAAGGCAAAAAACATCAAGAGCAAAAAGTAGAGACTCCTTATGTGAGATGTCTAGATCCCCAGATAAACGTGCCCAGGTCCTCTACTACCATACATCTTTCAACAAGAACTTTTCCTTTTGGAATAGGAAAAAGATTCCTGGACGGTGTATCTGGTTATTTATGATTTTTTTCATTGTTTTATACTGCAACACATACACATCTGGAAATGTAAGCTTACTTTTTAGACTAACTATAAAGTGAAAGCATTAGATATTATGCCAATTAAGCCTGCAGCATACCCATTAGATTTAAAAGCAACACTACATGTAATAGAAGCACTTACCGTTTGAGAAACAGTAACAAATTTAAATTTGCTTTAATAAAATAGGGAGATAAGCAAAAGAAAAAGTTCAGTGGGGGAAAAAAAGGCCAAATGGTAAAGTAGGGAGCAAAATTAAATTCTATAGATGCAAGGTGAAAAGAAAATCATTAAGTCAAAGTCTGGCAGAATGAGAACTGAGGACCACAGTAAAACCTTTCCTTTTAAAAAATATTATTTAATAATATAACATATCAATAACAGCAACCTAAGATACATGAATTTTAAAAAATATTTCTTAGTTCACACAGGACTGAATATATTCATGGAATTGTATGTATAGTTTTGTTTTCTGTATTTTGAGAAAGCAATCTGAAAACTAGAAAAGGTTCAGGGAAGAACAGTAGAAATATTTAAATCAAAAGTAAGCGAAACATGCTCTTACTTTCTTACACTTAAGGATGTCATAATGATATCGTATATTCAAGTCCTATATAGAATTTTAATGTTCTCTGAAACATGAAAAAGCACACTGTGAGAGTTCATTGTTAATGCACTTACAGGAAATAGTGGCGGTGGTTTCAATGCTACATCAGGTAACCGTTCACCTCTGCTAAATCCAACTGCCTCAATATTGAAGGTATAAGCAGCACGTCCTCTTCCTTTATTCCCAGCCATTGGAACCAGTTATACCAGAAATGTGGGAAAATTCTGAAAATTAAGGAGTAAGATTTACTGGATCATATGAAAAATAAAACCAACATTTTAAAGCAAAATACACTCCACCCCTTAAGTAGCATGGCCAATTTAAACACTTCTGGAAGGCAAAATGTTTAAAGAAATAACCATGTGATCAACGGATTCCTGAACTCCTCACATCTAGTCGTGTTTGACCATGGCCTCAACTACCTCACCCCAGGCCCTGGGTGGAGACTGACGCTGGGTCTCCTTCAAGAGGCTGCCCCAACCACTGCACAGTCAGTTGATGCAATTTTCTCCACTCCTCTGTGGTTTGGCAACAAGATCTCTTATCTATGTAAAAGTATGGACAAGGAAAGGTCAGGCTGATGAAGAGAGGACACTGCTTTTTCATTCAACTTGAAGACTATTAGTCATACATACTTTAAATTTGTAACTGGCCCTGGCCTGTTTGGCTCAGTAGACCCATCAGCCCTCAGAAAGAAGGGTTGTGGGTTGGATTCCTGGTCAAGGGCATACTATGGTTGCAAGTTCAATCCCCAGCCCTGATTAGGGCGTATACAGTAGGCAAAATTGCTACTGTACCTCTCTCGCATCAATGTTTCTCTTTCTCTCTCTCTCTCTCTCTCTCTCTCTCTCTCTCTCTCTCTCTCAAAATCAATGGAAAAATATCCTCATGTGAGGATTAACAACAACAAAAACTTGTAAATGATTATTTCTTTAATCCTAGAATTTCAATGTTAGAAAAGATCCTTGATATCAAGTTCAGTGTCCTCCCTTTAGAAATGGGAATGGGCTCAATAAGACTCTGAAGAGGTCCGTCCAAGCAAAAAACATAAGTTCAGAGAAAACCACCTGAAATTGACATTGTTAAAGGTAGGATAAAACTGTACTCTCTTCAACTATGGGGATAGTAGAGATGTCACGGTACTCAATGCCCTATACTGAATGTCTGAAGTGTCTAAAACATGATTACATTATAATGTGACAACTGAGCTGGCACCGCATTCACAGGATTCCTACCCTAAGGATCTTTCACCACAGCTCTGCATTTGACTGTAGTGAAGATTATAATACACACTTTAAATATATTTTTTAACTTCACCCAAGGATATGTTTGTTTTTTTATTGATTTTAGAGAGAGGGAAAATGAGAGAAACATGGATATTAGAGAGAAACATGGACAGGTAGCTTCCCAGGTGGGGATAGAATCTGCAACCTGGTATGTGCCCTAACCAGGAATCGAACCCTCCACCTTTCAGTGTTAAGAGACAATGCTCCAACCGAGACACACAGGCCAGGGTTAATACACACTTTTAAAATCACTTTTCCCATTGATAAGGTTATCATTCAAGCCTGTAAGCTCAAAAAGCAATATGCCCTCCCACACCAAATTAAGAGTTCCCTCCCGCTTTTCTCTTGTCATTTGTTTATTTATTTTAAAACCCGGCATCATTGTACATACAATGCTTCTCCAACTTGAAGGCACATATGAATTACCTGGATACCTTGTTATATTGCAGATTCTGATTCAGTTGGCCTTGGGCGGGCGTAAGAATCTGCATTTCCAATAAGCTCTCTTGAGATGCTAGTTTACAGACCACACTTGGAGAGCAGCAAGGCTGTATCTTGTCCCATATTTTGGATTTGAATGGTTGTATACATGAGATATGGTTTAACACATTTCTCTATTCCCTGTATCTTCTATAAACAGGTGGACTAGAGGCTTACTTAAATTTGAGTTTGCGCCGAAACCGGTTTGGCTCAGTGGATAGAGCGTCCGCCTGCAGACTGAAAGGTCCCAGGTTCGATTCCGGTCAAGGGCATGTACCTGGGTTGCGGGCATATCCCCAGTGGGAGATGTGCAGGAGGCAGCTGATCGATGTTTCTCATCGATGTTTCTAGCTCTCTATCTCTCTCCCTTCCTCTCTGTAAAAAATCAATAAAATATATTTAAAAAAAAAATAATAATTTGAGTTTGCTTTTTTACAAGGATACTTAAGAGATGCTTGTTTCCTACTGCATCACATCAGGATGCATATGAAGTGTCTGTCCCGGTGATGTTCTGGTCAGTGGGTTCAGGTACTGTCAGTCTGTTTCATCTGGTATAAAGTTCCCCCTAGTTTTGACCTGATGATTTTAGCTGTCATTGATGATCCATTATTCCATTATGGATTGCAATATAGTAATATACACGTTTTGTCATTCTTTCTGTATTTATTAACTGAAATTCTACCAGGAATCAATTCCTCACATCCACTATTTAGTTACTATGAAACACAATTCAAATAGGAAAGGTGCTTATTTTAACAACCAAGCTCATTTCAGCTGTCCACACTAAGAGAAGAAAAATATCCAAATGGCCTTGTTTCAATTGCTGAGTCATTAAAGCATATGCTGAGCTTACTGAAGGAAGGTCTCCTAAGTATGAAAATTGCTAAGCAGAAGGGCTAAGAAACGAACTGTGGGAGCCCAGTAGATATGGCTGAGACCCCGAGGTAGAATTCCAATCCAGGATTTGCCACAAGAACAATTATAGGCAATGTCTTCCAAACTTGCCTGATCATGAGAACTGCCTGAAAGACTTATTACACAGAGTCCCAAGTGATCCTCAAGACCTCAAACCTACTACGCCAGAATCTTTGGAGGTGGGCCTTGGGAAGTAGTTGGAAAACTCACCCTAAAAAGGGAATCTATTAGCTACCACTGTTTGATGGGATATCCCTTGAGAAATGTCAAACTCTGCTGCCTCTAAACTTGTTTTTATCAAGCAACCTTAAGTGCTATCTTTAGTGAATGTACTGCCCTTGTCAGAGAAAAATCAGTCCTTGTTCTTGAGACACCCTTAATAATTACATAGCATTCTGGCCTATAAATCCATCTCTTTTTAGTTTGGTTACCATGAGTCAGTCAGTTCTCCTATACCCGGGGAAACTGCTAATTTCATTTTTCCTTCTCTTGCAGAGCTGAGAGGCATTCCCTTGGCTCTGGCAACTAACTCATGGGAAAAATAGCTTACAAGTAATGCCTAAGCAGCACTCTTTAAAATCCTTTAAGTTGACTTAACAGTTGCTTTGTTTCTTTTTCAACTTTCTCGAACAAAAGGATTTTTAAACCAGCTTTCCCCATTTTCTCATTATCCAAGTCTTACTTTACTTCATTTGGCCAATTTCATTGAGTCATTCACTCAACCAATATTGAGCATCCCAGGCACAGTGGCAGGAACCAGACAGCACTGAACAAAACCGGTTGCTGCCCTCAAGTCTTACATTTCAATGGAGGAAAAAACACAAAGACGTAAATAAATATGTAACATAATATTATCTGTTCTTTATGTGTCCCCTCCAAAAGGATGTTGAAGTCCTAACTGCTGATAACTTTAATGTGACTTTCCTTATCTTAATATATAAAGAGGTAATATGCAAATTAGGCCGGGACGCCGGAACAGGATGACCAGACAGGAGGTGGCTGCGCACGCAGGTGAGGCCCAGAAGGAGACAGAGACAGGGACAGAGGAGCCTGCCCCAGCCAGTGCAGCAGCTCCGGCAGCCCGGAGTGGACACAGGCAGAGGGGTCAGGGGCGGGAGGGCCTGGGGCTGGCCGAGCCACTGTGCCGGCCTGGGCAGCCCCGGAGCGGACACAGGCAGGGGGGACCTGGGGCAGAAGTCAGGCGTGGACCTGGCCGCCCACGGCACCAGTCAGGCGCGGGTCCCGGCCACCTGCGGTGGTGGCCTGGCCTGACTTGCGCGGCGGCCCACGGGGTGCCTCCTCGCGCGATTTCAATCGTGTACTAGATTTCAATCTAGTCCTATATAATAAAAGGCAAATATGCAAATTGACCAAACGGCAGAACTGGTCACGATGATGCGCACTGACCACCAGGGGGCAGACGCTCAACACAGGAGCTGCCCCCTGGTGGTCAGTGTGCTCCTACAGGGGGAGCGCCACTCAGCCAGAAGCCAGGCTCATGGCTGGCAAGCACAGCTGCAGTGGTGGGAGACTCTCTCACCTCTGTGGCAGCGCTAAGTATGTCCAACTGGGAGAGGGCACAGGCCGGGCTGAGGGTCCCCTCTCCCCCGCACCCAGCTCCAGTGCACAAATTTCATGCACTGGGCCTCTAGTTTGGAAATAAAATCTTTGCAGGTGTAATCAAATTAAGGTGAGATCATACTGAACTAGTGTGGGTCCTCTTCCAATTACTGGCATCCTTATAAGAGGGAAATCTGGACACACAAAAAGATACACATAGGAAAAACACCATGTAAAGGTAGAGACAGAGATAGGCAGTACTGCAGCTGCAAGCCAGCAAACACCAGAAGCTAGGAGAGAGGTACAGAACAGACACTCACTCCCTCAAACCTCCAAAAGGAACAAACCCTGCCAACACTTTGATTTCAGACTTCTGGCCTCCAGAACCATGAGAGAATAAATTTCTGTTGCTTTAAGCCATCCAATTTGTGGTAATGTGTTGTGGCAGCCCTTGAAAGTCAGTACAACTCTAAAAAATAAAAATCATGGAAAAGGGATACAGAATAACAAAGGAGTGTGTAGTGGCTTTTTCATCATACAAGGAAGGTCTTTCTGTGGAGGATAAATCTGAACAGTGTGCTGGAGAAGGCCCATGAGCCAGCTGGAGGGATGGGGTAGAGATAATTAGAGAGAGAAGTAACAGCAAGTACAGGGGAGGGGAAGCCACAAGCTGGGAGTGTGTACGGAACAAGAAGCCCATCCCCCTGGCCACTGTGTGGCTCAGAACATCATCCTGAACACCAAAAGCTGGTGGGGATGGCGGGTTCGATTCCCAGTCAGGGCACATACCTAGGTTGCAAGTTTGATCCCCGTCAGGGTACGTGTGGGAGGCAATAGATTTGTTTCTCTCTCACATCAATATTTCTCTCTCCCTCCTCTCTCTCCCTCCTCTCTCTCCCTTCCTCTCTCTAAAGTCAATGGGGGCTGGGGGGGGGGGGGGGAACAAGCCCATGTAGTTGGTGAGTAGCAAGAAGAGGTTGGTCCAATGTGTGGAGCCCTGTGAGAGCTGTAGTAAGGGGTTTGGCTTCTATCTTCACTTGTGATGGAACTACACTCACGAAAATGCTGAAATGCAAAGGTCCTAATGGTCCCCAATGGCAAAATCCACTAACCTTTTGTCTTTGTTCATGCTCTTGGACTTCCAAAGCACACAGCTCATTACTGCCTCCTCTCTACGGAAATTCTCATTCGTGGGCTCTAATAAAACTCCAGGTTCTTCTACCCCACTGATCATTTTATTGGTCGATTTCTCTTCTTAAACCCCCTAAAAATAAATTTCCTTAAGGTTTAATCTTTGGTCTTCTGCTGGTTTTTTTTTTTTGGTCTTCAGAAAATTCTGCCATTCTTGGGGTTTGGGGACCTTGCCCACAGCATTACCTCCAGCACTAATGCACTAATAACCTCAGTTTCAGCACATGCACTTACAACTCAAAGAATATTTGGATAACACTTTAAACTTAACATACTGAGATAATCTTCACAAGCTAACTTGTCTTTCATGTATAAGATCCCTGTTTCTATCCATTGTATATTATTTCCCCAGTCACCAATATTTGAAGATTTCGAGTGAGTCAGTATCAATTTCTCATTCTGTTCCACCCCTCCTATCAAATCATACATCTAATTCTTCCTTCAAAATGTCTCTCCCTTTTCATTTCTTCTACCATAATCCAGCTCAGTCCTTTCCCACCTCATTTTTTAACTGCAAATTTTGTGGTATCCTGTGTTCTTCCTGTTTAATTTATCCTTCCATATTATTCAACAGTTTTTATTCATATATATAAAGCCTAGTTCTGATTATGCTCCTCTCTTCTTCTTCCCTCTTGGCTAGAGAATTAAATCCAAACTACCTAAGTATTCAAAACCCTTTTAAGATGGTTGCACCTACCCTGATGACTCAGTCTTCTGTAATCATGTCTTAATTACCATTCTCTCCACTGCAACTTCCTCCCTCTTCCTCCCTGACTGGCTGCACCTGTTTTCACCGTAAGATCCAGTTTCAGTCCCTCAACATCCACAAGAGTCATTTCATCCCACCTTACTCTTGGAAAGATCCTCCAGCATTTTTATTTTTTTGCAGGGGGAGAAAAAAGGGAAGCCCAGTCAGATTGGGGGGATGTGGGGGTCCCTGCCCTGCGGTGCCGGGTCCCAGGCCCCGCTCACCGTTGCTGCAGGTGGGTTGGCGACGCACCAGGCCCCCAGCTGAGTGAGACCCACCTTGCAGCTCAGGCAGTTCTCGCGGCACCTGACTAGGAATTGAACCAGGACCTCCGGGTTCAGAGGTCGATGCTCTAACCACTGAACAACACCAGCCAGGGCTGCAATATTTTTTTTTTTTCCTGCCCTGCCGCCCCCTCCTCCCCCCATGCTTGTCTCCAAGACCTGAAACTGAGAGCCACCATCAGGCGGTCAGTGTAGTGGCAGTGGGGCTGCTGTAGCACTGGAATGGAACCCGTTAGCCACAGTACGGCCAACAGGTCACGAACAGTGCTTCCTCCTGCATTTTTAAAACTTGAGGTGATACATATTGGTACACAACTTAATTCTGGAAGAAATATAGACATGCCCCTTTTGGGAAATGGGCCTTTTCCAAAGGGAAGGAGTTTCACTTATGTTTTTTGTTTGTTTCTTCAACTGTATTAACAGGAGAGAATTTACCCCCCCACCCCACCCCCCACCCCCGCAACACACACACACACACACACACACACACACACACACACACACACACACTGCCTTCCCTCAAATTCTTGAGAACCCAGATCATGACTTTCTTCACACATCTAGCTCAGGGACTTGCACATAGGATAGCCCTGAACAGAGGGGAAAAATTCCAACTAGGTTAGGAAAATACTAAAAAAAGGCTGCATCCCCACCAAAAGCTTTAGGAGGATAGGGAAGAAGAGCACACCTATCCTTGTATGAAGGCTTATTAGTAGATGCCACAATAAGGGTTTTCATAATTATCTCTTATAATGCTGTCTCATGGGTCTCCAATTTTCCCTGGCTGACTCTGGAGGTTAGTCAAGTTCTCAAGAGAATTTTTGAAGACAAAATGGATGTTTCGATAGCTGGGAGGTGCGGGGGTGGGGGGATGACCTCGTGTTAATGGTGGGAGTGATATTTGTGGCTGGCAGGGCTACACCCAGTTATTATCCACTTTTTCTGTCCTAAGTCTGGCTGCCTGCACTTTCCTTAGTTGAACCTTTCTACCAACTTCCTTTGCTCTCTTTCAAGAGTGAACAAACTAACAAAACAAAACAAAAAAGGAGGGTGAGGGAAGAATTATTTATTTATTTATCTATTTATTTATTTTTGGAAGAGAAGAAAACCCTTATCAACAACCCCTTTCCCCAAGACACAGGATAAAATGCCTACAGTGAAGAAAAGTCTGCGGCAATGATTCGTGCCTGAATCAATCACATAGTCATCGGATTTGAAAACCTACCATCAGTCAGAGCATAAATTCCTCTCTCACTCATGGCAAACAGTCCCAGGAAGAGGAGACGATTTTAAAAGATTTCGAAGGGGCGAGAGGTAAAGCTCTCTCTCAACAACCCTCAACCCAGAGGCGCTTTCATGAGCCTCCACCCCTGCCTTTCCCCACCTCCTTCCCCCACGTGCCCGGTGAACGCCTCTCCTCCCTCCCCATCCCCATCCCCCCCGAGTCTTCAGTTTGTTACCTGCTCCCTAGGATCGAGGCTCGGGCAGAAGCATGCGGCCGAAGCGCCGGCCAGCAAAGAGCCGACGCGGACACGAGGCGCCTCCGCTCCGACGAGGGTTCCGGGGCCGAACCAGCCTCCACGCGGCTGGGAGCCGAGTTCCCAGCCCCTCCAGGTAGCCCCGCCCACTCCCCTAGACCCCGCCCACCGGGCTAAGTCTTTTAGCCCTTGGAGGGCGCCGTAGTCGGCCCACGCCGGGCCCGACCCTTCCCGCGCCGGCTGCAAGTGCGCACCGCAGGGTCGGCGGTGGGCGGGCCCGGCGCCTCCCGCGTCTCGCTGGGGCCTCCGCAGTCGGGGCCTCGGCGGGCGACGTGTCGCTCTCTAATCTCCCGCAGGCTCGGCGGCCCTGGCGTTCCCGCCCCCTCGCGCTGCGGCTGCGGAGGCTGCCATCGCTCTAGCGCCACGGTGCGGCCGAGCAGCCCCTGCTCTCTGCGGACCCGGCCGGAGTGCGGTGGGCGCTCTAGGCGGCGGCTCCGCGCCTCCCCCCTGCTCCCAGCTCTCCCCCACCACCCCTCGCTCCCCGCGCCAGCCTCCTCCCCGCCCCCTCCTCGCTCTGAGCCTCCTCCCGGGCTGCGGGCAGATCGGATCGCCCCACTCCGCCCAGAGCCTCGAGTCTGGACCGCCGGCGGGAGGCACACACGCCCACACCCACACCCGCTCGGCCCGGCCGCTCCCCTGCCCAGCATGTCGGCGCTCGAATGGTACGCCCACAAGTCCCTGGGCGACGGCATCTTCTGGATTCAGGAACGTTTCTACGAGTCGGGCAACCGCGCCAACATCTGGCTGGTGCGCGGCTCGGAGCAGGACGTGGTGATCGACACGGGCCTGGGGCTGCGCAGCCTCCCGGAGTACCTGCACTCCGCCGGCCTCCTGCAGGACGGCGGCGCCCGGGAGGACGCGGCGTGCAGGCCGTTGCTGGCCGTGGCCACCCACGTGCACTTCGACCACTCGGGCGGCCTTTACCAGTTTGACCGGGTGGCCGTGCACCATGCCGAGGCCGAGGCCCTGGCTCGCGGAGACAACTTCGAGACGGTGACCTGGCTGTCCGACAGCGAGGTGGTGCGGGCGCCCAGCCCCGGCTGGAGGGCCCGGCAGTTCCGAGTGCAGGCGGTGCAGCCCAGCCTCATCCTGCAGGATGGTAATGGGCCCTCGCGGGCGCGCGCGTTCTCCGTCAGGGAGGGGGCTGGGGAGAAACTGCCCGCCCGAGGGATGGATGCATGCCGCCGAGGTGCATGACTGCTAGGGGCTTGTCACGTTGCAGAAACGCCACTCGTGTTTCTCCCATCCCCGAGTTCCAGCCCACTCTACCGGAGCCTTCCCTACCGGAGACCAGCCTTGGCGCCGAGTAGCAGTGCTGAGCACTCAGTGAAAGCCGGCCCCACCCCCTAGTCCGTGTCTTGTGTAAGATACAGTAGCGCTGCACTTGTGATGAGAAATTTTCCGTTCTTTTCCCGGAGACCTGTCTGACATTTTCAGGCGCTTTTCCAGCGAGAAGACTTGAAGAATGACACCTCACAGAGTGCAAGTCATGCTCTGTGCTTTTGAGAGCTGCTGACTTCATCTGCTCGGTGACCATCGGCTATGAGAAATGCCCACCTGTAGGCTTAGAAAACCTCTAGAGAACTGTGCTTCCAGTCTGCTCGTGCAGCCTTATCTTCCTGATAGACTTCTGTTCTTGATGTTGCCTCCCGAGAGAAAAATCTTGGTAGGGTACACAAGACGTAGAATATGTCTTGAGTCTACGCTATGACAGATATCCTGTCTGGTTGAAAGCAAGGCCTGAGAAAGATGAATAAGGAGGTTATTTCCGGTGATGGTGGACTAATGTGTAGATACCCTTGGGCCTCTGTGAAAGGTAGGATAGGGTTCAGAGAGAAACTAATGGAATGAAATAAGAGTAGGACCCCAGTCTTCCCAATCCCATGCAGGCACTTAAATAATTGAAGTAATTAGACACAGCCGTACCATTTGTATATTAATTTCCTTTATTCTTTTTAGAATATTTTGTTGACTTCATTTGAAGCAACACATTTGAAGTGAGCCAGCGGACACCCAGTTAAATGGCATGCCTAGAGTGACAGAGCAAGACAGTGGCAACAGTTAGGATTTGAACCAAGGCACCACAGCTCAAAGCATGCTGTTCAAATCCTACTCCATAAATATATTATGGTAATTCTGAGTAGAATGTGAAATCCTCTCCTTTCCATTCTATTCTTGAAACCATTTTAATTTCCACTTTAATTTATTAAAACATCCTTTGATGAGGTAAAAAAATCAAGTTGCTACAATACAATAAGGCTCATTTTAAGACCGGCCAATATGACAAATAATGAAATATTTTACAAAAATAATTTTATCTTGCAGATGAGATCCTGATCACTTGAAATATAAAACATAGAAAGCACGATTCTAGACCTTACACCCCACCCAAAAAGTCCTTTCATTAAAAATTTAAATCTAAATATAAAGAAAACTGGTTTAGATGGTAGTCTTATATTACCTAACAACTTGAGATGAAAGTAAGGTACACTTAATGTAAATTTAATGTCCTTTTACATTATTTTATATTTAATGTAAATTTAACATAAATTTACATTAAATGTACTTTTAACTACTATATAGCTTGATAAAATTGATACTTTTACTAGTAAAGGTAAGATTTCCATGTAGTTGATGGGTATTCAGACTAAATTTTTTCTGGCATCCAGACCAAAAAATGTTGGCATTAGTATTTAAAATATATTTAAATTGTTTAAATGAATAAATTACTTTAGATTTCCATTTGCTCTCTGCCAGCAATCAATGGTGAAAGAGTGGTAGAATAACTGTTTCACAGATAAATAGTCCAGGCAGGCCTGACTATCCCATGCATACAGCCACTTTGGCAAAGAGCTGGGACTAGAATCCAGGTTTACTAAATACCAGTTATAACTTTATAATTATAATTAAAGTATTTCGGTGCTGCAAGGGGCCTGTAAGCTACCTGTGTGGTATTTTAAGCCTTTGAAGGTCTGAAAAGAAAGTTTGATATTTACCAAACACTTTGAAGGTGATCATACTGTGTTAAGACGTATGTGTTTTTTGTTTTGTTTTGTTGTTAGGAGCTGAATGCTTCACCCTCTCAAGTAGTATCTAATTTCCTCTTTTCTGGGGAATATTAATTTCCTGTCTCTTCTGCCTGGTGTGGTCTGCTAACTTGCTATTATCATAATATGGATGCCTGGAAGGAGATATAAAATATTTATATTAAAAGTGCATGCACAGTTATGCACACACATCAACAGCACATACCCAAACAGCACAACTTCTTCATTGCTTTGGTTAGAACATAAGGAAGCTGAAGTCATTATTTTATTACATTTTATTTAAGTGAATTGATGACCACCTGTCTTGGGAAACAAATCCGTACACTGTATTACTAATCCAAAAGCTGACTTGTAAATGAGGGACAAGGAGGACAAGGAGAGATCCTCATACAGTGCACCATCTCTGATGGAAAACAACTCGCCCTACTATTAGTGAAATAGTGTCTTCCTGTAATAAAATAACAATAAATCATAGGTTGATATAGCACAATCTTCTTGAATGGGTACACATTTTGCCTATTTTTGACAATATTCAAGTGATATGAAGTGCAGGCATTTTGGCTCCTATTATGCACATTTAAACTATTTGCCCAGAGTCACCAATATACAGAATTAGGCAAAAGTAGGTTTATAGTTGATCATATGGAAAATAATAGAATAAATAATAATACAGAAATAAACTGTTTTGCATACTCACAACTGTAAACCTATTTTGGTTTCGAGCAGCTGTTTCAGGTGGACTTAAATCATTTAGGGACAATAAAAAAAAAAAAAAAGATTCCAGAAAGGTAGCTGATTGAATAAGCACATCTCATTTGACTTCCTTCTAAAACCCCACTAAGACTACTATAAAGGGACCGTGGAATTGTTTCAGATGCTGGAGAGTACTAAATATGATGGCTGAGTGAGCAGTTTTATCCTGTTCCAGCAATGGGAAATCAAGAGCCAATCCAGTTTGCACTGCAGGAGCCTTAAAAGGAATTAGCAATAGCTGGTACCTAAGTGGAGGCTAAGGGAAGAATACTACTAAAATGAGTAGAATTGGTTGAAAGCCATTTAAGAAGCTGTTAAAACTCTAGAACCCTTCTTAATAAGTGAATGCCCATCCAGTTAGTTTGTTCTCTGGAGAGAGGAAAGCAGAGGGGTTTCTTGACTTGAGGGATGGCAAGTACTATTGAGTACAGATGTTCAGAATGGAACATAGGAAGGATGCGTGTGCATTCCCTCCTCATTCCCAGACAATGAGAGCCAGGCATTTATCCCCCACCTCCTCCCTCCTAGAAAACTGAAAGAATCGGATCTGAGATATCTGCTCAGACATAGAGGAAAGACTAAGATGCTGATCTCTAAATAATCCTTGGCTTGATCTTTCTGCAGTGAAGCCTATAGGTCACTAGGTCCCATGCATGTGTTTCTAGCAGCCTTTTCATCCCCCACTCTTAAACAGGCAACCAAGCATTATGAAAAATCTGTGAAAATTCTCTAACGAGATCAAATACTAAAACAAATAGCATAAAGCAACTTGGATGGTAGGATTATCATTAATATCATCAGGGGACTACAGAAAGTATTGCATTCAAGATATCCAAGAGACAACAGGATGCTTTCAAAATAAGCAAGAGACAGAACAACACACATACACCACACACACACACACACACACACACACGAAAAGGGCTCTTGGAATTGAAGACATCCAAAAAACTTAGTAGAAGATCCAGAAGATAACATTGAAAAGTTACAAAAAGAGCAGATAGGTAAAATGAAAACGAGGAAAGAACCAGTAAAGGAACAGTTTAGAAAATCCAACGTTGGAATAGTAGCAGCACAGACAAAATAAGAAAAGTGGAGGAAAAGAAAGCACAGCACAGATAATTCCAGAAAATATCCCACAGCTAAGGGATGTAAATTTCCAGATTGAATGAAACCAGAGTTCCAGCAAAATAGATGAAAACACTTCCAACCAAAGGCACCTTACTGTAAAATTTCTGACTACTTGGAATTAAGCTTCCA